CTCATGTAATTGTCAGAATAGCGTATATTGCCCACTAGGGGCAGGTAATCACAGAGCCCACAAAACAGAAAAAGAACAAACCTTTGGAATCAGATGCAGGGAGGAAAAGACTGAAAATGGTGAAGAGATCAGACTAAGAGTAAAATTAAATTGGATGTCCGTCACGGTTTAATCAGAAACACGGACCAATTGTTCTTCATCACATCTCTCCACCATCAAAATCAAAAGCCCAGATGAAAAAATCAAAACAAAAGTTAATAGATTTGAGAGTTGGCTATCATCAGAGACTTAAATACATCGGTAATCAACGGAGATATTTCTCCGATCATATTGTTGCAGTATTTTTCTCATCACCTGACCGCTCAAGAACAACAACAAAAACACAAACGGAAAAGCAATTGAGAACGAAGAAGAAAACCCGGTAACGAGAAAGGAATTAAAATGCAATCTATCAGGAACAAGGGAGCTCCGGCGAGCGCAAGGAAGCACGATAAAATACTTGGGGAAAAACAGGAAGGAGAAGCGCGGCAGTCTGCGGGAGCTAGATGGAACCAGGAAAATTTTATATAAGCAAGAAGGTAAGGAGAAACCCTAGTGCTACCTACCATAGGGTTTCTTTCTCCGAGCCGTCAGGGAGGAGGCTTTACTTTCAAATCTGGGCCCCCAAAAGGGAGATCGTGTTATGGGCCAAGGCGTTGTTGAGCTTTTAAGCGAATTTTTCATTTCATGATTCCTGATGGGCTCACTACGCAATGTAGCCCATGAGAGGAGATGTTTGATTCAGATGGTCCTCGGATTAAAGGGAGGAAATCATATTGGTATCATAAATTCATAATACCAAAAACAAAATATCAAATATCAAATAGCATACTAAATTCAATCTCGATATTAAAATAAATTCAGTATCTCGATTTCAATGTCTTAAATTTTGTTTATTATTGCTATATAACAAATACCAAATTAATTTCCCTCAATATTACAAATCAAATATACAAATGGAAGTAATAGCTCCACAAACCATTCTTAAAATATATAAAAACAAACAATGGTGTAGTGCCAAACACTCGTACACAACAAACGGGGAAAGAATCTCAAGTACAATAACAACACACTGGAAAAATGTGGTGCTTAAAAAGCTCATTAACAAACTAAAATCAACAAACTGAAACATAGAACGACTAAGCCACCATAAACATACTACAAGTAACAAAATGAGCTCGATATGGGTTGTCAAGTAGTGAGGGAATGAGCAATGTATAATTAAGTGACCATTTTGGCAATTATGGGTCTAGTAGCAATGAGTGAGGAAGTTAAGTTGAGAGTGATAAAATACACACTAGTTTATATTTTGATATTTCGGTATATACCTATCACAATCTCATAAATTCTAACATCATGAGGCGAGGTCTATGGGTTTTGAGGAAAGAGTGACAACCTGTTTCTGGGCTACCTTTGCCACGTCGGGGGTTCTGATGACATGAATCAAAGTCTTGTTATGGCTATTTCACTAGAGGACGTTCGGAATACTGTTTTCCATATGGCCAGGGCTAGCTAGGGGAATTGGTTAATTTTATTCAGATGATGACTAAAGTTCTGCGGAAAACTGAGAAGGAATTAATTTTTTAGGAATTTAAGTTGATCAACTCATTATGCAAAACAATATGTCTTTTATCATTGGGCCACAATCAACTCCTTATGCAAATCTACAACGACAAAATTCCAAGAATGCTTTCAAGTCTCTATAATAACAGCAACTTCGACTTTTGGCATTTTGGAGCACATTTTATAGGCGGCGTTGCATTGCGTAAAATAAATAATTAATTGAGATGTGTCCTTATTTTATTTCACTGTTTGTACAACGGTATTATGTACCTCTTAACTAACAGTTGGTCTTTTTAGGTGATTCAATATTAACACCAACTTAGGAAAATTTCAAAGTCATTATTATTAAAATTTTATGTAGCGTTAAACGGCTACCTCAAGAAATAACTCTCTTTCCATAGAACAAACATAATGTTTGATTATCTTATGTTATTGTTGTACAATAGTATTACATAGACTGACATAATGGATTCATGTCATGAATATCATCACAGAATTAAGCGACAAGTCATTACAAAGTCTTATATAACATGTATGATATTGATATAAGTGTTACACAATAAATAATTTTATTCTATAATCGTATTTTATATTGTTTGTAGAGTACTTTTACTTAGGTCTTGCATGCCAATGCACCATTTTTTCGTACGGGAGCAAAATATTTTGTACAACAAATACAATTTTCGTATTATATATAGCAGTACACGATTGTTTTGTAATAAAACATAAATTTTTTTAAGAAACACTATGATAGGTACATAATGAAGGAAATAGATCAGGTAAATAACTCAAAGTTATGTAAAAATATATAACCACCACCATTAATGTTTAACGGGCCAAATCTCATGAGTTCTGTTCTCCCTTTTCAGTTTTTTTTTAGAGAAATGATTAAATATGATATACAAGATATTATTTATTGTATATATTTGAACACAAAAAAAAATTATGTATCTAGGGTCAAACTTACACTCATGTGTGCAAGATGGTCCTAATTACCAACCCACAGCATCCGGGGAAAAATTCCAAGTTACACATGTTTTAAAAAAACAAAATTCGCAAAATACACACGTTATGAAAATAATTCCCAATCTACGCATGTTTGGGCCTTCACCGCGGTAGAGGAGGGCGGTGATTGCATCACCGCATGAAAGAAAGGCGGTGATTGCATCACCGCATGAGAAAAATACGATGATTGCCATCACCGCTGTAGAGGAAAGGCGGTGAAAGTCTGACCTGCGTCAAAACTTTAAACAAACGTAACTTTATACTCGGTTATATCATACAATTATACGAAGATGACATGATAATTTCTGCTTAGCAAATAACCAAAGTTTCTCATTGGCGCTAGCTACAGTGTACGGTAAAGGTTCTCATCTGTTGTTGCTTTGCCGAGACAAGGCAAGGCAAAATTGAAGAATGGCCATTTGGTATCAGAACCCTACAGTACTGCCAAATTATTAGATCGTTAATACCTAAGCCATCACAAAATTGGCATCGGGGAACCCGATCCAACTCCCCCTCAGGAACAGGAGCATGATTCTGTTTCCTTTTCGGTTCATTGTTCCTTCCATCAGATTGAATTTTTTAGACTCTCCAACCCCCAATATAAATCCCTCAAAAAAAAAAAAAACCCCCAAATATAATGTTCCCTTGGTTTCTCAGTCCACAAACGTAACATTCCTTCGCTTTCAACGCTCCAGTAGTTTGGTATTAGCACAATGGAAGGGAATTGTATCATCAATTATTCAATACCACCTTACATGCAAACCGATTGGTTCAATGGCAATGGCAAGATCGGCGGGCCAATCCAAGTTATAGGGGATGCTCAACTTTGTTGTCGAACTTGCTATGTGTATGATATGATCACTTATATTATATATGATGCAAGTGGAGGGACAATTTTTCCGTGTGTTAGCTAGCTGTTGAGTTGTCTTTAGTTCGCATTTTGTCAAGTCGTTAAATGACAAATCGAGCTACCTAATTGATGGCACGACAAGTCCTACAGTAGTATGGTTTTGTTAGTTATGTCTATGACTAGGGCTGTCATTTCGGTTGCCGGTTAGCGGCTAACCGGCCGGTCTAACCGTTAACCGCCGGTTAGCGGCTAACCGGAAACCGAAAAAACAGAGGGGCGTTCGGTTGACGGAAGGGATCAGTGGTCAAGCGGTTAGCCGAGAAACCGAAGCCGGTTAACCGGCTAACCGACGTTAACCGACCGAGACGAAACGACGTCGTTTTGCCTACTCTTAAATAGGCCAACTCCCCCCCCCCCCCCCCCCTAGCACTGCTGGCCTTTGTTCTCCACTTCTCCCTCAACCCTCACCTCTGCCCGCCGCCTCGGCCTAACCCTTTCCACCACTCACCACAACAACCGCACCATCACCCCCGCCGCCAAGCCCAACAACTCCGGCGCCCACAGTACTTTCGATCCTTCCCTCTGCCTCACCCTCCTCTCCGGCAACGGTGATAGCATTGACCAGGTCTCCGCCGCCCAACAGCGCGGTGTCGTCTTTCTCGGCGGCCAGCGGCGGCAGGATGGTGGTGAAGAGGGAACGGGACGTCCTCAGCTCCACCGACGAGACGGAGACCGCGGAGAGGGCCGCCTCCCCTGCTCCAGCCGCCTCCTCCCTTGCTCGGCGCCGGCGTGTCTTCCCCTGTAGATGAGCATATTTGTTTCCATGGAGAAAGAAGGTGAGAGAAGAAGAAGGAGAGAGAAGAGTCTGGTGGAGGAAGGAAGGAGAGAGGAGGAGATAAGGAAGGAGTGGTGGTGATTTTTTTGTTTTATTTATTTTTTTTTGTGTGGAAAATGTATTTTTTCGGTTGGCCGGCTAATCGAGCCCAAAATCGAAACCGCTCGGTCGGTTGGCCGGCTAACCGTGACCTTTCTTCGGTCGGTGGTCGGCAGCTTAAGGGGGGGGGTCTCGGTTTAACCGATAACCGAGTTTTCGGTTTTAGATTAAACCGAAACCGATCGGTTGCCACCCCTATCTATGACTTCACATATGTGGTGTGTATAAGAGTTTTTAAAGTGTACAAGTTGTGGTATCTTTGACCTAGAAAGGATATTAACAGCAAAAAGAAAGGAAAATAATCGAGCCAAGGCCTTCATCGAGGGTACATGATCTTAATTAATTATCATCGTGATAATTTGATGGGACGCATCATTAACAATCTTGAAATTCCGTCTACGAAACTTTACATCTTCGTTCTCTAAAGCCAGAGATCGAAATACACTTCTTCTCCGAATCAATAACAATATAATGGAACCCAACGTCATAGAATTAGGATTATCATGTTGTTTTCTACCGTAAGGTTAAAAGTGAGTCTGAGTGTGTAATCGTACTAATCGGCAATCGCCCTTAATTTTTATAAAATCAAATGGTTTATTAATTCCCTATGTACCGTTTGTTTCCACACTGTTAAATACGATCGAATATTTTCCCTAAGCACGAGGCCATGCACCCTATATATATATACCCCTCTAACAATGTAAGCAAATATCCCCCACAAGGCAACACTCTCACCGGCCACTTCTCTCTCCACCACCAGAACCCAAAACAGCCCGGAAAAAAATGGCGGCAAAATCAAAAACCTTCCCGCCGGTGGAGGACTGTCCATCCATCGGCAGAGAGAACGACACCGTAGTAGCCGACATGGACGGAACCCTCCTCTGCGGCCGCAGCTCCTTCCCCTACTTCGCCCTCATCGCCTTCGAAGTCGGCGGCGTCCTCCGCCTCCTCTTCCTCCTCCTCGCCTCCCCATTCGCCGCCGCCCTCTACTACCTGATCTCCGAGTCCGCCGGGATTCAGGTTAGTGACGGAATAAAAAATCTAAATGAGGAGCTGATTTTGAATTCGATAATTGGAAAGGGAACTAAAAAAAATTTGTTCGAATTTTATATATAAATTATCTGTATTTTATTATAACTCCTCCTCGATATAACCTAGCTCCGCCACTCGTCCAGGTGCTGATCTTTGCGGCCTTCGCCGGGGCCCGCGTGGCGGACATCGAGTCGGTGGCGCGGGCCGTGCTGCCGAAGTTCTACTCGGGGGACCTGCACCCGGACACGTGGCGGGTGTTCTCGTCGTGCGGGAGGCGGTGGGTGCTGACGGCGAACCCGAGGATCATGGTGGAGCCGTTTCTCAAGGAGTTTCTCGGGGCGGATGTGGTGATGGGGACGGAGGTTGGGGCGGTGAGAGGGCGGGCGACGGGGTTTGTGAAGGGGCCGGCGGGGGTTCTTGTTGGGGTGAATAAGGCGGATGCGTTGATGGCGGCGGTTGGTGTCGGCGGAGCGGTGCCGGAGATTGGGCTCGGTGACCGGAAAACTGACCATCCTTTCATGCAGCTTTGCAAGGTAAGGTTTGAGTCACAATAATTAATCTCTAGTATAGTGACCAAATATTATTATTTCATCTCAAGATGACGAGTTTGATAACTTGCATGCTGAATTTTTTTTTTTTTTACTAAATTTTATATGTGTCCCGGGACAAAGACAAAAAATTTTGGCTCCGTCAATCAATAACGGAGTCAGAAGTTAAAATTAGATGTGTTCTCTTTCCATAATATAAATTACTTTAGTAGGGAATTTTGATTTTAGTGTATATAAATCAATATTATGATAACTAAATAACAAAAAGTGAAATTTAATACAATGACAATATGCATATCAAGTGAATTTTCTATCACTTGAGTAAGCAAATAAAGAGATTCATTATTTTTACCAAAACTTATGGTCTGAGTGACTATTGAAATATTATGATCTATTAGTAATCTCAAAATACTATTATAAATAAAATTTTCACAATTTTAATGATATTATTTAATATTGATAATACAGAAAGTGATTACCATCACCACAAGTTTAAGTATTGAAAATTAACCTTTGTTATTATCTCAATAAGTTATTTCTTGTCAATTGAACATATGAACATTGTTACATCTAACAAACAAAACATATGATCATTATTGTCACCCGTTATAAACTTATAATGCCTTGTTATTATCTCGAATAATTGAATTTTATTCCAAAATTTCCGTTCTACATTTGTGGGGTGTCCTTGGCACAGGAAGGATACATAGTGCCACCGAAGTCAGAAGTCAAACCGGTCCCCGTTGACAAACTACCAAAGCCCATCGTCTTCCACGACGGCCGGCTGGTCCAAAAGCCCACTCCTTTAACCGCGCTCTTCATCGTCCTATGGATCCCCGTCGGCTTCCTCCTGGCCTGCGTCCGCATCGCCGCCGGCTCGCTCCTCCCCATGTCCCTCGTCTACCACGCCTTCTGGGCCCTCGGCGTCCGCGTCCACGTCAAGGGAAGCCCGCCGCCGTCCGCGAAATCCGGCGAACAGACGGGAGTCCTGTTTATTTGCTCCCACCGCACTTTGCTCGACCCGATCTTTCTCTCCACCGCCCTCCGCCGCCCCATCCCCGCGGTGACCTACTCCCTGTCGCGCCTCTCCGAGTTGATCTCCCCCATCAAGACCGTCCGGCTCAGCCGGGACCGAGCTGCCGACGCCGGCATGATCAAGAAGCTTCTGGAAGACGGGGACCTCGTCATTTGCCCCGAGGGGACCACATGCAGGTACGTTGTTTGGTGTTAGACCTATCATAAATGGAAGTGGAAAAGATTAATGAGAGGGCTTAAAGTGGTGCCAAGTTACCTAACTATAAGCCTAACTCTTCACTAGAAGTAGGTTTGATATAAATGAATTCTCTAAGTTTTGAGAATTTTATTTTGAAATGAAACATTTTTGTGTTTGATATTTTAAAAAATTCATTTTCAATTCTAAATTTTAAATTCCATGAAACGTTGTAAATGTTGGGATGCACATTGACTCTTGATATGATATTCAAACTTTAGGTATAAAAAAAATCATGTGTTTTAATCTTGGCCGGTATAGATATTCCTAATTTTAATTAATTAACACTGATTAAATGATGCACAAATTATGATGACTAGTATGCTCGATTTCAAACCCCAATGAATTTTTGTTTGAGAGCATGTAATGAATAAATAAGATAAATATTCCAAATCGGACGTATAACAAATTCGAATAAATCGATTTTTCACTGAGACAATATATAATACTTTTGAAACATATATAATTTATAGTTACATAAAGTATTTCTCATTATATATATACCCTTGTAGGGAGCCATTCCTGCTGAGGTTCTCGGCGCTGTTCGCGGAGCTAACCGACGAGCTGGTTCCGGTGGCGATGTCGAACCGGATGAGCATGTTCCACGGAACCACGGCTCGAGGGTGGAAAGGGATGGACCCCTTCTACTTCTTCATGAACCCTAGCCCGGTGTACGAGGTGAGGTTCCTAAACAAACTGCCCTACGATTTGACATGCGGCGCCGGCGGTAAGTCGAGCCATGAGGTGGCGAATTACATCCAGAGGACGATCGCCGCCACATTGTCGTACGAGTGCACCAGCTTCACCAGAAAAGATAAGTACAGGGCGCTTGCGGGCAACGACGGCATCGTGGGGGATCATAAGAAGGTGGCTAATGGCAACATGTCGCCATTTAAGGTCATGGGATGTTAAAGGCGTTGATCAGTGTTGAACAAATATGATGATGTTAATTACGACGCTTGTTATTAGTGGGGTGTTTAGTAGAGCAGTCATATGAATCCAATGTCCAAGAAAGATGGGATTTTGATAATAGACAGATACATATATGTTTACATGCTGATAAATTGGAAGTTGAAAACCAAAATGTGCTTACCCGCGGTGAATAGTGAATCGTATACTTTATATTTTAGGATAATTTGGGTGTGCGAGTGAATTCTCAGAGATAAATATTGTATAGTCTGGTCTTAGGAGGCCTTGTATTTTGTCGTATCTTTGCTGCTTCCCTCTCAGAATAACTTTGGGAAAAAAAAATGTGTAGTCTATATATAATTTAATCACGTACCTCTAATAAAAGTTAACCGTACTTTAGAAACCATTAAAGTCCCATAACTTAAAAATTCATATTTAATTTAAGTGCGATTGTCCACACTACAACCTTACCAATGCCAATTTTCATTAAATCCCGTCGGCTATAATTTCTCTACAATTTCATTTTAAGGTTGAGTGCCGTCTAAGGAAAGGTAAACCATTGGTAAAAGTGAAAGAGAGAGAACCCAAAGCAGATCGTATATTTGTGTCTATTGCAAAACACACCATAAATTGAACAAACGTTACATTTCAGTATAACTGCGCTGATACGGATCGGGAAATTATCGGAATCGAGAAAGCAAAAATACGAAAGCGAGAATCGAAAATAGACACACGATTTACGTGGTTCACTAACACATTGTCTGTTAGCTAGTCCACGGGCAAGAGAGACCCAATTTCACTATATCATGGATCTTTCAAATTACAAAGGAGATGAGAAGTATTTATACTTCTCCATGTGAGTCTAAACCTAATCAAATATGGTAAAAGGAAACGGTTAAGCTATAGCATGGATATCTATTATGTCCAGTTTGAACACCAAATCTGTAAAACAAAGCTTCTTTTAAGACATGTAAAATTCTAACTAAACTAGCTGAAATCTTGTCTCAATTAACAAGACATTATAATTATTGTGTTTAAAGCGTTCTTGAGCTATTGAATTACTACAAAGAAGCTATCAAAAAACACAAAATCGGAAACTATGAATTCAATTTAAGGCAAAAGAGGTAAACCACTTTGACAGATCAATTCGGTGTTTTACTTTATAGTTTCATAGGGCAAAAATTTATCTAATACATCCATCCGTTATAATAATATGATAAATTGTTGAATGATATGATAGTTAATGAACTAACATCCTATATGAAAAACAGATATATGCAATGGAAAGATGAACAAGAATATAAAAATCTATCATGATTTTGCCTCTCTATAATTTCCTTTATGCGTCATCTTTTTCCATCTTGCTTTCAAGTTTTTAATTTATCCACTCACAACTTCTGCTAACCAACAATGACATCATGAATTAAGCAAATGGGTTATAAATATGATCTCTAGATGAACTCCGTATAGAATTATCTATTCTCATTCAAACAAAGCTTTACGGAATCTTATATTTACAAATCAATATTCAATAGTCTCCCTCGTCCTTATCATATGATTAATCAACTAAACAATAATACTTATAATGATGACATTACGAAATCAAATTACACTTTTGAACTTCCCACCAAAAAAGAACAAAAGCTTCTGTTTGAGCACCAGCCAATCAAAACCGACCACGTCTCCAGAAAAGGAAAATATTTAAATAACTTTCCCCTTTCTTTTTTCATTTTTTTGGATATAAAGTTTCTTCCTTTTCTTTAATCGGCCCATCACCGGCAAATTCGACGGAGAACTGCCGGGCACGCCCCCCCACTAACTCAGAGTAAATAGTGATGGCCGAGAGCAGAAGAACCAGCCAACTCTGAACTCCCAGACCGCGTAGGACCCACCCCTGCTCCCTGTTCAACCAAACGAGTGAACCTACCGTTTCCGCGCGGCAGCCATTACCATTACCAAGCTGGCTGCCTGCTTCTCTCTCTTCCCCGTTTTTTCCTCGCCGTTTCGTTTTCTCTCTGATCTTTTTTTCCCTTCTTTCCCTCTCCCCCATTTTCTCCTCCTGCCCGATTGACTTCCCAGCAAGTCGTGGGGCCTTTTCACCGAATTTCGGAGGGATCGGGATTCCCCCCAGATGCACAGATCGCCTGCAGGGTTCCCCGCCGGCGCGCCCGAGTTCTCTGACTACCAATTGGGTGCCAAGTTGAAGCTCGCGAGTTAGGGAAAGCGGAAAAGAAAGAGAGAAGAAAAGGAAAAAAGAAAAATGGGTGCTTGTGCTTCGTCGAGGAGAAAAGGTTGTGTCGTGTTCCCTTTCCCTTCCAAGAGGAAAGTCGAGGAGAAGAGGAAGAGCGACAATGGAGAAGGTGGGAGGCGGAGGAGGAAATCCCGGAGACGGATTATCAAGCGGCGTGTCTCCTCTCGCAAGGTTGAAACCCTCGATCCTACCCGCCAAACCGATCGGACTTTCTCTAATCCTGTGTTTCAAGGTCGGGAGAAAAAAATCAATTCTTTTTCTTGATCTTTCTGTCTCTGTTTGAGTAAGTAGGGTTTGGGGTAAGTATTTGATTGGTTGGCTTTGTTCTGAACAACAGGAAGCATGGATGGTACTTGGTGTGATGCCACCTCTGAGCTTGAATCTGAATGGGATGACGAGTTTTATAGCGTTTATGAAGGTACACAATTTAGCCCTTTAGGTTCTTATAGTTTGTAGCATTTCAGTGTTGAATGGAGATTCTTGCCTGCAAACAAATTTATCTGCCACTAAATCTGTAGATGGGTACTCTGTCGTCGACTCTAATGACAATGGTTCTAGCCTAAGTGGTCCGCCTCATGATAGCATAGCTGTCGATTCAGCTCGAGATGTCTCTCGTGGAAGCGGTAATGAGCAGCCCAAGCACACACATTCTTCTTCGAGACTGAATGATGCTACTCAAAGGGAAGCATATCCTGCTGCTGGAGAGGAAGTTTCAAGTGTGAGTATTGTGGCTGATAATCATTGTGGGATTCTACAAAATGCTTGCTTGCCTTGTATTCCTTCAAATGGTCCTACGGTGGAAAAGAAGAAATCGATGAATTCTGATACTGCCAGCTCAAAGAAAAAACCTATGCTTAGACTTTCATTTAAATGGAAGGAAGACCCTGTGCCTACATTATGTAAGTGTTCCACCACTTTGTACCTGTACAATTTAACTTGCATAAGTGAGTGCTTGCGTGCATGCAAATTCAATTTCTGATATGCTCTAAAGAAATCTGTAGTATTTGGATATAGGAATAGGATGATGCATAGCTTACTGAATTCCTGTAGCTTGTATTAGATATTGGGGACGGGGGGAGGGGGCATGGGTGGCAGTATTTGGCTTCCGACTTACTAATGGGAATAGTAAACAATTTGGTCATGTATCCATGAATAAATTTCCTTAATGGAAACTGTCTAGGCGATTTTAGTCGTTGAAGCAAACAAAAGTACATACGAGAACAAATAAAGGATTACCTTACCACTCATATCTTTACCTTATTTAGGGATTTTCTTTTGATTCTCGTATTAACAACTGTTGCTCTGAAAAATATGTTATTTAACTCGGCTTTTCTCACCTCTCTTTTCTGTTCTTCTCCGTTTTCAATTTCAGTTTCTCCAAAGGGACTTTCCCAGAGGCCAGTTGCTGGTTCTACTTTTCCTCACTGTCCCATTGATAAGAAGATTTCAGGTTGTTGGTCTCCTCTTGAGCCAAGTAGTTTCAAAGTACGGGGAAGGAACTACCTCCGGTGAGAACCATCATTCTCTTTTAAGGATTCTTTTTCATTGTTACATCTCGTCAAAACTGGATGAGGTAAAGGTTCCTCATATTGGTTTCTGCGACACTTCCATTTAGCTTTATTCAGTCATAACCTTTGATGAATGTCTAATTATCACTCTCCGTCGACCAGTTCTTCAAATATTACACCCGTGTATGGCATTGATTGTGTTTTATTCATTTTAGAGCCACAATGTTGTCGATTGTTTTCTTTAATAATTATTACTTGTACTTCTGATTCCAAATACCATGAACTTTACTGTTTAAATATGTCAGATATTCTGTACAGTTTGGATACCAAGTTGAGTATTCACTTAATAATAACTAACACCTCCAGTAATGTCTAGTTAATGAATTGTGCTCAAGTGGAGCTAACTGCTGTGTTTCATCACTTCATATGTTTTATGTTTCCAGGGACAAGAAGAAAGAGCCTGCACCAGAATGTGTTGCATTTCACCCTTTTGCTGCCGACATCTTCTTATCTGAAAGAAAAATTCCTCATATTGCTAGATATGTTGAACTCCCAACGCTTAGTGCCTATGATGAAGTCCCAGCTGTTCTTGTTGTTAATGTTCAGGTAGTGATATCTTCACATCATACTCTTCTCAGTGGAAATAGTTTTGGAACATAGAATATCTTTTCTCAGTGTTCTATCAGATATCAGATAATCTTGATCTTCTTACAGGTACCATTATATCCTGCCTCAATTCTGCACGGTGAAAGTGACGGAGAAGGAATGAATTTGGTTATGTATTTTAAGCTGTCTGAGAGTTACTCAAAAGAGCTCCCCACTCATTTCCGGGAAAATATTATGGTCTGTTGAGTTTATTTCCATCTCTATACTTTGCCCTTTTCTTATACAATATTAGATTCAGCTGCTAATTTACTTTTCTGATGGATTTTCCTCTCTTCTGCAGAAACTCATTAATGATGAGGTTGAACGGGTCAAAGGTTTCCCTCTCGATACAATTGCACCATTTAGGGAAAGATTGAAAATTTTGGGCAGACTTGCAAATGTCAATGACCTTCAGTTAAGTGCTACCGAGAAGAAGCTCATGAATGCTTACAATGAGAAACCTGTTCTATCACGGCCTCAGCACGAATTTTACTTGGTAAATTCCAAATCTTTTAACAGATAATAAAACCTTTCTTTATTCTTGTCCATTTTTACTCTCGTCTCCATAGCTGAAATCTTGTTGGAAAGAACATAGTGGAGAAACATTACATAATGTAGCATTAGCTGATCTGGAATGGTTAAAGGTTGGCAGTTCATATAGACGTAACCTACACTTACTTAATGGCAACTTTTACTTGGCAGGGAGAGAACTACTTTGAGATTGATTTGGATATGCACAGATTCAGCTACATCTCTCGGAAAGGTTTTGAAACATTCAATAACAGACTGAAGTACTGTATAATGGACTTTGGCCTGACAATTCAGGTAACCATCAATCCGTTTTGCTACCCTATTTGGAGACGGATTACGTGTTTAGCTTCATGGGCAACTTAACTTATCATGTTATCTCTTGGAACAGGGACACAAGGCAGAAGACTTGCCTGAACATATTCTGTGTTGTATGCGCCTAAACAACATTGACCACACTAAGTACAGCCAACTCGGATGTTGACTTGAGACTCAGGGAAAATGGGTTCATTTCACCGACTTCGCCCCCAAACGACGGCCTAATATGCAGCAGAGAGATTAAGGTTTTGGATCTTGGGGCGCCCATTCATCTGTACAAAGTTATGATGATTCAAGTGTTGTACAGGTCCCCAATGAAGAGAAAAGAAAAGTTCATTCCCGCCATGATTCAAGTCATAGTGCTTAGACCTTAGAGATATGTCAATTCTGCTATCTGTCTTTTGAGATGTGGAAACCAGATGTATAGCCCTTTGAGACCGATGTAAGCTTTGGTTGCCTGTCGGGCTGATAAGATCAGTTATATGTTGCAGTGCTCTATTCAGAAAGGCTTATTTTCAGCCCCGAGAAAGTATTGGACTATTGGTTAATGAAGAGGATAAAGCGAGAGTCAACTGTCGAGTTCTTTAGCATCTGTATATTGGGATTCTTCGTTCTTTATCAGAATATGGTTTTGTAGAAGTGGTTGAAATAAAAGATGCCAAAGAAGTACAATAACCATCTTTCAGCTAATCTAGCCTTCCGTGATAGAAATTGATGAGAATTGTGCTTGAGAACGCGAATATTGATTCCATTTTTTTTGCTTTCTCGAGAGCTTTCGAAAAATAACCATCTTTCAATCAATCTAACTTACTTTGATTCATATTAGATAGTGTGATAGAATTGTTAATTCAAAAACAATTTTTTTCGCAAACAAAGAGAGTGATCGAATCATTTATGTTCTATCAACAGGTCCTAATACGAGTTAGATCAATGTTTTACTTTTAACATATATGCCAACTTATGAACAAATTTTCCAATATGAGAGAACTTAGTGAATGTTGTATTGCGATTTGCGAACGAATCCGATGAATCACAAATTTCAATTGAGCACATGAGGTTCCCCAATGGATCATGAAATGGAAAGAAAGGAAGGAAATGAACGAGTCCATAACCGGGAGAGAGATACATATCCAAGGAAAAGAACCAATGGCGGATAAGAAAATTAAGGAATAATATGATACAGTTTTAACAATAATAATATTCATCATCATCATCACCATCTTCAATTATCAAGCAGTGGGAGGAGAACCCGTACAGCACCGGATGAAGAAATATGCGCCGCCTCCGTTTCGCCGCCGGTACTTCTGATCCCCGGTCGGCAACTGGATCGGCAAAGAGGACACCCTTGACAATCCGTCACTACCGCCGCCGCCGCTGCCGGACTCCCTATGACGATGATTCTCGTGCGAGGGCTGGAACTTCTCTTCTCTGCCGCTCCTTATGTTCCGAAGCAGCTGAATCTCGTGGCTCCTTCTCCCGGCCGTCGTCGGAGTGCCGGCGGAAATCGGGCCGCTGTAAGAGGTCAGAAGCGGGCCGCTCCTGTCGTTGACGTTCAAAAGCGGGCCGCTTCGGTCGGCGTTGAGATTCTCCCAGACCCGTCCGGAAGAGCCCTGACGCCGGAACGAAACCGATGATCTCTGCAACATTTGGCTGCTCACCTCCATTGCTGTAAATCAACCTTTGGATGATAATCAAATCAATGTTTTTTCCCCTTTCTTTTGATTTTTCGATATTTTCCTTCGGTATTTCTTCTGAGCTTTTTGTGATCTCCTTACCTTAACGAACTTAACGGTTTTGGTTTTTGGCCTCTTCTGGTTTTGGCTCAATCTAATCCTATTTTGTTGTAGTAATTTAATTTCCTTCCTTTCCTTTTCACTAACTTATTATTTGTTTTTTTAGTAATTCTTTTATTGTATAAATTTCAGTTTCCTTTTTTGTTATTTCCACGTCTTTATTTTAGTTTTTTGGTAGTATAATTACCTTCTTAAGGAGGCCTTGTTTTGTGTTATTTATTTGTTGGATGTTTATTGTTCCCTTTTCTTCGGAGGGGCAAAGAGAATTCGTCAAAAATGAAAATATGATTTGTCAAAAATAAATTTTCATCATTCGGTGGTTCTCCATAACATCCAGTTTACATTTCATCCAATATATAATCGGATCGAGACGTAAATCATGACTCTTAAAATATAAATTATCATAAAAGTACTATATCGAAAAAGTATACACAATTCACACTACCTCTTATGCACATTCTGACAATCAAGCAAGCTTGTGGAATTAAGTTATTTTTGAGTTGGTGAAAATTCATCGTGAATCAACCTGTAAATTTCTATTCATGAGGTGTTTGAGTAGGTTTTAACATTGATGACAAAGCCCCCAGAATAGGCATCATGCCAATATCAAGTAACATTTCTTTCCTTCTTGTCATGAACGGGTCACTCATCCAGTCAAGCATATAATCGAAATCGTGTCCATGTCAACTATAATCCACTCATGTAATGTCAATCTCCATATTCAAATTTTGACGGGATATCATGATCCCCACTTAATTTATTACTTTCAAAAGATAAAAGTAGCTATGTAGTATTGTGATCAAGTAAAAGGTATGGTTGCAACTTCTAATGTGTCAATAATGTTTCCCACTCCATATACTAAAATCCGAATATACTACCTAACCTTAGTACCTTACAATTCTTTCCGCCAAAAGGCAAAGAGGAGGAAGAAGAAGGGAGAGGAAAAACTCGTCATGCTACTTTTACCTCCTTTGTTCCCCATCCTTGATACATATATGCCTTCTGGAAATAAGCTTGACGTGATTTCATCACCACAAAGGAAAACAAAAAGATCAGCTAATGAAGTCTAAAGCAGAACAAAAAACAGAGTTAACATCAATTAATCAGTAATCAAAAGCAAGACGATCCAAAAGCTGAGGAAACTGTGACTGCATCATCTCCCTCTCCTTGTCCAACATGCTCTCCACAAATGAACTACTTCCACCACCGCACAATGCAGCTACCATGTCATCTCCATCATTTCGAGCTGAGAAATGTTCTGCTTCTGATGGTGGAGGTACTAGTGCCGCTGATGGCCCCTCCTCAATTGCCTTCTCTTCATCATGCTCATGCTGGAAACCTGACGACGATGCCAGCGTCGAATCGCTCACCAGAAACTCCCTCCACATCAACCCTTGAGCAGTTTGAGCCTCCGTTTGCTGCTGCTGACACGATGAGGAGAACGATTCTCTCGGCGAGCCAAGAAACGTTTCGGCAGAAGGCAGAGGAGATGATGATGCAGAGGCAGAGAAGTCCCAGGACAGAAACGTTTCGGCCGCAGTAGATGCTGCTGCTGCTGATGGTGGTGGCGTGAGGGAGAAGGAACCATTGTAATTGTCCTGTTGAGGAGTATGGTCATTGTTGTTGTCGACCATCATCAGTGTGCTGTTATTGGAGCAAGATGAGGTTGGTGTTGTTGTGGTAGAAGAAGAAGGTGGTTCTGGTTTGAAGGCTTTTCTCATAAAGGGACCAGCTTGGTGGTTTGCTGAATTGGTCGTTGTAGTTGTGCCCGAAGGGACATTGATGCCACTTATGTTGCCGAAATCGTTGAGGATCTTGGAGATGGGTTTGTGGGTTATCGGGTCGATCCCGATCTTCTGCAGCTTCTTCTTCAGTTTGGTGTTCCAGTAGTTCTTCACGTCGTTGTCTGTTCTCCCTGGCAGCTGCCTTGCTATCACTGACCACCTGTTGAAGTACTTAAAACAAGTTAGTGAGGTGAATTAGAGGTTTAAGATCCTTGCTGTTTACAATTTAGTTCCTTGCAATGTAATTTACCTGCTGCCAATGGCTTCATGGAGTCTGATAATGAGCTCTTCTTCTTCAGGAGTGAAGTTGTCATGTTTCAGGTCAGGTCTCAAGTAATTAGTCCATCTCAGCCTGCAACTCTTTCCACATCTATTCAGTCCTGTGAAAGATAAAAGGATTAAGAAAGTAGTAGACCCAAATAAGTGCAAGAAACCATCATCAACTTCACTAATCTACAATGAAAATGTGGGGGCATCAATTAAGAGAAACAGTAAGCTAAAATTGGCATCATCTGAAAAGGAGAAAAAAGGGCACCAGCTTTTTTGGGGACTAAAGTCCAGTTGCCAATGCCATGGGTGGCTACATAAGCAAGGATCTTGGCATCTTCCTCAGGAGTCCAGAGCCCTCTCTTCACATTAGACTTGTCACAGCATGGAGGCCTTCCCATTGTGATGAATGACTGCAATGGTGATGGTGTGTTTCTTTTCTTTCTTGGTTTGATTCAGTTTCTTGGGAGCTATGGTGGTGTAATGGTGATGCAATTCGAGCTGTGCATATATGACACAGAGGGTGCTGCTGATGAGGGGGAGAGAGAGAATGGAAAGAGGGGGAAAACGTTTAACTAGTGAATGGGGGAGAAGGAGAAGGAAGAGGCAAGAACTGCATGGAAATTGGAGGAGCTTCTCTTCTCCACCCCTTATTAGCAACATTTGCATGATATATATTCCTTCTTCTGTTAGTATGAAAGAAAAATGAAAACAAGAGGGGGAAATTACAGTTGTTTCTCTCACATAATTTTGATAGAAAATGGCGTGAATGCATGCATGTTTGCCTTCTTTCTCTCTCTTGCATAGCATCATTCATATGCTTGGCTCTATCACACAGTTTATTCACTGGGGTTGGTTCTCTTTGAGTGAGCTCATTCTCATATTAATTCCCTTTGTTTCAACTCCATTTGATTATCCAATGTTGTTAGGTAATTTTGATACTTATTTAACCTTTATTTTCGATACGATATCATGATTCAATATAATTCTCGGCCTGAATCAGATCATGCCCACCTGTAAACGCTGTTGCTGTTTAAGGATGTCACTTACCAGACCTACAGATACCAACTTCATTTCTTACCCTTTTCACTGTAAACGACTGTGACTGATGCTCTATAACATTATCAAGTTCGGTGCGAACATACCTGCCAAAATGATATCTACACCTACAGCGCATTATAATAGAGCTACCCAAAGCCTTGCTTCCGTTCTCATGTCAATGGACTACACTGAGCTCACTCCCTCTCTCTCTGTGCCTTTCTCCTGAGAAGAGCAGACCTTGCAACTCTTCCTACAGAATCCACTGTACTCATCAGAACCAACCATATACTTAGGATTCTTCTCACACTCCCCCGCTTTGGCCCACTTCTCACAGTTTTCATTCTCATCGCTGCATTCTGCATGGCCGCCTTCACCGTGTATGGATTCCTCAAATGATCTGACATGGATCCACTTTGTTGCCGACCACTTCTCTCCCTCTATAACAGGGCAGCTCCCATGCAGACTGAGTGGATCAGTCGTTGCATCAGGGTGGAGACTGAAGAACAGTAGTGCATCGCCCTTCTCGGGCTTCACTGCAGAAGTATTGGGCAATAGCAAGTTTCATCAGATTCAGAGTCCAAGCAGTGAAAAACACAATACAATTATGCTTAGCTCCACAATATATTCACTGGGCCTATGCAGAAAAAGAGCAAAGCAAATTACATCCATTTAGTGCAACTCGTAGGCATCTGTTTAAAAGAAACAGAATATCATTTTGTTCACAAATCAAGCTACTGGGGCGACTATTCTAAATGACGAGGTAAGAAAATGTTCATCGTGCTTTGCCAAGGCAATAAAGACTGTTTCTGACACTGTCTGGTGAACAAACATATACCATCTAATAAGATATTCCTCCTCTTAAATTTAAGTTCATTTTCTCCTAATCTGTTCTAGGTTCCTAGATGTAGTCAAAATGCCATACGATAATGAAACTGAATTTGCAAGAGAGTGAGTTCATGCACGGATAATTTCATATACAAAATCATAACTTCAAATATAAGGTAGTACCTGAATAACCATCCTTGGCACAATCAGACAAGTCGTCAGCCTTGGGTTGAGATTCCTTTCCCTGTAAGAAAAAGACACAAAGAACTTGTAAGCATCAGCCAAAAGCACAATGCATCAGAAATAGAAAAGAGAACCTTAAGAAATTACCTCTGCGTTGGGAAATATCGTTTCCCCACCCTTTGCTACATTAGACAAATACATCAACACGGTGGCAATCCGGTGTCCACCAAGCGCTTGATTAGCCTTGTCATGGAAATAGTCAAAATGTGGTTCATACTTTTGACCAAGCTCATAGCGTAAGATTTGAATTGCCTCTCCATTTTCTGATGAAAAAATGCAGGTCAGGAGAGAATAGAAAAATGATGCTTTCTGCTCACACAGAAGTTGGCAGAGAAGGCTGTGCAATGTGTATGAACATATATATACCTACTGGAAGGAAAGTCCAAGCAGCAATCCTCTGCTCGATAGCAGCAACCACTTCATCCTTCACAATTCAAGCCAGAGCTCAATCATAAACAAGAAATGGAATTCGCGAAGCAAAGTAGCAGTAGCTAAAATAGTTCCCAACAAATTGGCCAATCAACCATTGTCACAGTAAAGTCCCATACACAAATCAGGCTCAAGTCGAATCAAAATTGAGAAGACCCACCTGATATTTCGACAGAAAAGTTCCAGAGCTTGTTCTGACTTCACTCTCTATACTCTTCCCCGAATCATTATCTGCTACCATTGATTTCTCAAGCGAGTCCTTAGCCTATCAATCGAGAATCCAAACATACACAGAAAGACTATTCCGATTCAAACTTCGCACATTTCCCACCTCTATTTGAATGAAATTCGCAAGAAGAGGAGAAGAAGAATCAACATTGGCCAATTACCAGTTCGATAAGGTGATCGCACTCGGCATCTGACAGAAACCCTTTGTAAAGAAAGGCCCTGTTCGTCAAGATCAAGAATTAAGAGAGTTAAGGCACATGAGATATCAGTTAAGAAGGGATCAAGAGAACAGAATAAGGACGAAAGTTCAGACCTTGGACGCCATGAGAGCTGAGTGACGCGGGTGGGATCAAATGATTTCGAGAACAAGCCTTTGTTCAATCGCAGAACTGACCCCTCTCTTCAAAAAATACAAGAAACCAAACAGGTGATTAGACAACCGATGCAGAGGTGATGTAAGAAAACAAAATGAAGAAATTTATACAGGCGGCGAGGGTACATTTCGTCAGAGAAGGCACAGCGAGGGGAAATCAAGAGGAAACACAGAGAGGCCGCCAGGATATGAAGGCCGGACCGGAACTCCATTGGCGACAGGATTTTGCTGGCCGTCGGAGCTGTGAATTGGGGAAAACAGCGCGTCGAATTTTGGGTTTTACAGGGGTTTCTTTGTCTTTAATGCTTTCGGGACTGAACGGGTGGAAGACAGGAATGCGGGCAGCAGGCCGCAGCTAGTGGGAACTGGGAACAACGAACGAACAAGGAAAGGAACCGAGAAAACTGTGGGTGAGATTCGGGAAAGGCAACGACACGGCGTCAGATCAATTTATCGCCTATTATCGTTAAATATAGTTATATGTTCTTATATCGTGACATATCTTCAAAGTATCGTATCCGCAATTTGCCGCGTTTCGCTTTTTTCAGTTTTCACAATTAGAGTATTGGCATTTGGGATTCCGGCAGGAAACTCTTCCGGTAAAGAGACGAAAAATGGCGGTTTCATCGTCACCGACACTCTCCGCTCTCTACTTCAGCACCAATCTTCTCTCAAGTTCTCCTGCTGCTCGGGCTCCCTTCGATTTGCCATGCTCTTCCTTCGCTTGCCGCCGCGGCCATTACACAGCCGTCGTTTGCTCTTACAGTAAGTAACCACACGCTCTAGCTTCTTCGTCTTGTTATCAATCTCCTACCGTAGTTTCTTACCTCGACTTAGTACGCTTTCGGCTTCTGTATATGTGAATTGAACTGTCACTGTTGGTGCCAGAACCGAAGAGCGAATTGGCTACTGGAGATAAGAGGTCGTTACTGGAAAGCTACGGTCTCGATCCTAATGCTTTCTTATCAGAGTCCGCCCCTAAGGTTAATTTCTGGCTCTATTTCAAGGGAGGGAGGAAGCGGGGAAAAGCAATGAATGTTCGATTCTGTCGTTGCTTTGGTCTGGTGTTCGCAAGTAATTGATATCTCTATGGAGTTTTGAGTTATGGCTTGATTGTAATGGTAGGGAAGGACAAGAAAAGAAGGGAAGAAGACTGAAAGAGGGAAGCAAGTCACGGAAGAGAAGGCACCTGAACCTGAAAGGACTACCCACAGGCTGCTTCAGGTATGGGTTGCTTGATTGCTTCCCTGTGTGAGTAGTTAGTGGTCAAAGACTTTAAGGATAGGACATATGAGCTCCGAGATAATTAGATGTCAGGAATGATGTCTTAATCATCTAGGCCAGGGTTAATGTAGTTATGATTCACGGATTCTGATCTTCAGGCTTGGCTTTTACATTGTTTGATTAATGATCTTGTGAGAATCTTAGGTACTCGGAGGAAAGGCTAAAAGAAAGAAGTTGCTTTCGCCGAAGGGGATGGATGTCAGGCCAATGATGGAAGTGGTTAAAGGTTCAGCTTTTGACATATTGCAGGTTTTACTCTTCCCTAAACTTTGATTTTTTGTCTTCAGTTAACCAGATCATTTCATGCATTTTGGTATCTGAAAAAGTAGCTAGTGGGCTATGGAGTTGCCTTATTCTTGCTCTTTTGCCTTGCTTGTTAGAATGGTTCTGGTATATACATGTATTGATGCTGACAGAATCTGCTGCTTTTTTGCAGGCAGCTGGGGGCTGTCCTGCATCTCTAAGGCCTGGGCGCTGGTTAGATTTGTTCAGTGGTACTGGATCAGTTGGTATTGAAGCTATCAGTAGGGGATGTGTTCAGGTATCACTAACTTAATTTTGTACAGTTTTTCCCCCCTCTCTCCTCATTTTGTAAATGTTCACCCAATGGTAGTTTGTTTGTAGAGGATAAGTTGAATATTTCCGCCAAGAATGTGCTTTAAATCTGATAAATATGTTCTTTTCTTCCGCTGTACTTGATTTGTTTATTCGATTAATGTCCTGTAGTTGAACTTGTTGCTACAAATTTTTCAGGCTCATTTTGTTGAGATGGATCCCTGGGTTATTTCAAATGTTCTACAACCAAATTTGGACTGGACTGGATTCCTAGACTTGTCAGTTGTACATGCTGTTCCTGTTGAAAACTTTCTAAAGCAGGCACAGCATTTTGTAGGTATGTATCATACTATCATCTACTTTCCTAGAATCCATGATTCTTTTTAGCTCAGTTGGTTCCAAAAGTAGATGATGCATGAGCTTGGTGTATGGAGTGATCTCAACTTCATTGATGTAAACTGAGTTTAGTCCACCTTTTTGTTGTCGGGAGTTCATAGACCTTGTACAATTTGAATAAAAACTTAAATTGTGCCTTCTCGATCACATCAATTTCTTCTGTAGGTGAGGACAGGACATTTGATTACATCAGTGTTACACCTCCGTATATGCTAGTTGACTATGGCATATTGATGGATCTCATTTCAAAATCAGGCATAATTGGAGAAAATACATTTATTGTAAGTGTTTCTCGTTCCTTATAACTTTTCTAGTTGTTGTTTTTTTTCACAAAATGTTTACATCTTCCTATGATGCCAAATTCCATTGGTTTAGGTGGTGGAATATCCTCTAAGGACAAACATGCTAGATTCATGTGGATGCCTCATGAAGGTACATCTCCTATTACTGTAGCTTATCACCATCTCCTCCTGCCCGTGGTCACTTGTGCCTAATATATATTATCGTAAGGTTTAGAACTGAAAATTGTCTGCAGTCTAGATTTGAAGTTAGCATTGACCTAGTTCCAAACTGGTGGTTGCACAGTGGTTGGAGATATCCAAAAGTCTTCCTAGTTGAGGGATCCTACTTGCCTTCTATTGTCCTTGTTGTGTGTTATTGATCTAATGGTGTTGTCTATATGCAGTACTGTTATCCAGTTTTTGTCATTTTCATGAGAAACTTGTTCATGATGACACAATAATCTGTGTATTTTCACTATCATAGTGTGATGATTTTGTTATGAAACTGCAGCTAACTGACCGGCGCTTTGGGCGTACTCATTTAGCAATATACGGACCCACATGGGCTCAAAAGAAGAGAAAGTAAGAGATTTTGCATTAGAAAATGACAAAAGTTCGACTGCAGCTGAACATGTGAGTTGGGTTTCAAATTGTTGTCGTCAACGAAAGCTCCTTCAGCTAATCCCAGGTCTTGAGACAGCAGCTTTGATTGTTCTGCAAGGTACTCTTTCTTGATACGGACTTATGGTTGCTTTCTCCGATTGTACAATTCGTGACGAAGGTTGTATATATATGTATACACACATCCTTACAGGTTTTATGTTTCATTCGCCTCTTAGGTAGCCCCAGGGTTGCTAGATTAATATGGACTGCTTGGTTGACAACCTTACGAGCGAACTTCCCCAATTGTAAGAAATGCATAAAATATTTATGTATTTTGCCTAAGCTCAAGGCTTATGTCATTCTGTACTCTACAGATCCTTCACTTTCTCTCATAACCAACAGCGTTTCATCGCTGAAACTTTATCCAGTTCTATGATTCCCTGAATCCTAAGAGTTCACTATACGCAAGTCTAGATCTAAAGATGTTCCAAATCTTGCAATTAATCTGGTCAAGTATTTGTATGCACATGAAATCCTAAATTCCTCATCTATCTTAGAGGACTAACAAGTCTACATCTGGCCTGACTCTTCTACTTACAGTTCAGTAACTAGGATTATTATTTACATAAGGATGACAGCATCCTTTTGCGTATTTTTAATAGCATTCGATCTTTATCCTGATAAAATATCAATTGAGATGGGTTTTACCTATCCGGAGATGATTCATGAGTTATTCCCCTTGTCAAATTGTTTTGAATACTTCAACAACTGAGTAGCGAAGAAGAATTGAGATTGATATTATCAATCCAGAAACGGTCCTTTAGTTATTCCCTTGTCAAATTGTTTTGAATAGTTCAATAACTGGATAGTTGCGTTTTGTTCATCTTCATGCATCTCTTCTAGGAATGTACTTATTTTCCAGTGCTGTTGTCAAACTTTCGTTCCAGCTGCTTCTCCTTTCTGTTTAAGATACACAGGCATAAGGCATTGTCATAGAACATGATAAGCTTCTGAGCATCTGCCTTTTGCTTTTCGTATCAGTTTGGGTTCTTTTCTGGTCTTTTCCAAAATTTATCCAACTATTTCAATTCAGTGGGGCAGTGGGACCACACCAATGAACTTACTAAAGTGGGGTTAGGAAAAAAGCACATGGTATGGATTCTTAAGAGTTAAAGAAAAGGAGGAGGGATATATGCAAGAGTGAGGAAAAACCATATAAAGGAGATGAAATACACACGTAACCTGTGCTAAGGTTCTATATCAGCCGGCGGCATGAATCTATTATGTCTTAATCAAGTTGGACCATTGCTAGTCCATCTAGGGCTTGAATGTGTGCCAGTCATATGCAAGTTGAATGAGATGTTGAAAGACAGTTCTTTGCATATAGCAAACCTCTGATTAAACCAAAAGGAAAGAGTTATGGTTCTGTCTTGTTGTAGTGACTCGAGTAGTTTTCTATCCCATCCAACTGTCCCTTAGAGAGATATTTTTCCGTTAATGTTCTGACTCCTAGATAGGCCGACATGGATGATTGTTGTGTAAAGAAAGCAATTCAGCTTCGAATAATTCACTAGGCATATTTTCTTCCGGTTGATTCTACGGTGTTGCTTCCTGCGACATGGTAAGCTACAGCTTCCTTGCACTGTTTCACAGGCTGAAGCATCACCATCATTTTCATATTGTTGCTGCAAAGTAGCCATTTTCTCCCAACCCAAAAAAATAAAGTACCGTTTCCTTTTTCAGTTGTGAGCTCTTTTTAGGATCACCCATTAACTAGATGATCTTGCAGATTTGTATTTGTTATATTTTAGAATCAAACTGTTGGTTTGGTCCACCACCTGCTGTGTGCTGAAGCTTGTTTCCTTCAACTGTCATTCTCAGCATGTTCCTTTCACTTGTAAGTTTTTAATTGCCAATAGTGCACTGATACCAACAAACTGTGTGTGCGCTCCCCTATGGTAATCATTTGGGGTCCGGCAATTGGAAGGAGTTTTGTCCACTGTGAATGCACTTGATATTTGTACCCTGGATTTTGTCTCTACTATCTTCAGCTGCAGTTTTGCTAGGTAACATCACAAATCTACATCATTCTAGGAACTCTCAATGTGTAAGAGTAATACCACTTCACAGCTAAGTGCATGAGACATGGTTTTTAGATGTGGTTTATTCAAGAGCAGAAGTTAGTGATATCCTGTTTCTTGTGTTCTGTGAAAAGGAAACCACGCTTTCCACCTTCATCTGTGAACTGAAGGAAGAAGTCCTTTACTGAAAGAGAAAATTGGTTTGCCTGTTTACTGATTTTAATTCTTCTTAGTTAGAAGTTGGCGTTCCTTTATATGAACTGAAAATGCAACATAACTTGATCAGATACTTGGTTTCTAAGAAAACTAGTACCCCACAGAAGAATCTTACTTCTGTTGCTTTTCCCTTCAAATTTGACTCCTTTGTGTTTGAAAGAAAGATGACCTAATATTGAATGAATTCTTGTCTGATAGTTCCTCAATCACAGCAAAACCCATCTTGTATACCAGCATTTATAATCATTGTGGGTCCTTTTGTCTCATGGATCTTATTTTACTCTGATGATCCATTTGTTCTTTTTTGAATTCATGTCTCTGGTATAGTTTCACTTTCAATTAATTCCCTTGTCACCTGAGTTTCTCTAACTATTAGTTGAGTACTTGAGTTACATGGATTGTTTTGTGGGGTTGGACCAATTATGTATACCTGCTCATTTGATTTTGTGGGGAATGGGGGCACTAGGCCCTATGTCTTTTATTCGACCATAGGAGTTGGAGGAGAATATGAGGTCATATTGGTCTCTGCATGAAAACACACAAGCCAAATCAAAGCAATGCCATGGACCCGTTCTATATATAAAGCAACAAGGGTAACGAACTTTTTTGTTTTTTGGCTCTCTGACTGACTGTCTGTCTCTTTCTCTCTCTCACTCTCCCTCAGTCACACACATACACACAGACACTCACAGTCTTGTGTCCCTGCTTCTCTTTTAAATAAAACCAATAAGCCCCACCCGCCAACATTGCTTGCCTTGCTCCTCTTGGCTCCATTTCTTCTCATCTTCTGCTCTGGGCTGGAGGTTGATAGACCCTTTGAAGCCACCATGGTTGTATCAAGTTCTTTACTGATTGCTTCTGTGACTAGTCAAATATTCATCTCCATGGGAAAGTAGTTGGTCCGTAGAAGGGGAAAGAAAAATGGGGAAGGGTGGTAGTAGTGTTTTAAGAGTTATCTCTGGAGCTGCGTTGTTGTTTGGGGTAGTTTGGTTCTTGTGCGTTGGAGTCTTAGCAAACCATGCAACCAGAAAATTGCAGAGAATTGCAGTTTCATCAACTGGGAGGTACCACTTTCATGAGGGGTCGGATCTCAATTATGTCAGCAAGAGAAGAGTGCCCAATGGACCTGATCCAATACACAACAGGTAATGACTTTCAAAACTTAAATCTAATTCTTCTTTTAGTTTTTTCTGTCAAAATGATCATGCATTCATATTAAGGTTAAGCATTACCAAGAATCAGTCAGCTATAACTTCCTTCTGATCACTGTATCTATCTGATGCTTGTCAGAGCGGGATCTGAATTATGGATAGCAGTATAGCAGAGTATGAACATCTGTGTTTTTCTTTCTTAGCGTGAAAACAAAGCTATTAGTACTGAAGTATAGAACTATGCTCATAGCTTGTGTATAATAAGATATATGGGTATATAAACAAAGATGAACACGCCCATCCTTGATCCTAATTGGAAATGCATCGAAAGCTGATAATGGTGTAGCACCTCTTTAGCAAAGCTTCTTTAGTTGTCAATCTTTCTCTTATTTTTATAAGAAATAGAAGCCATCGGGGAATGGACCTGGACCACTTTAGGTGATTTAGAAAGTCCCTAGTAATTGTATCTCTAGCTTTCATAAACATTTAGTGAACTCTCTTTTGTTAATTTGGTCCAATATTAGACTAAAGTTAGCTTTGTTAACTAGCTGTCGGCAAGCTGTCTTTATCCAAATGCAGCAGAAACATATCAGGAACATTAGTAATGCCTACTTCTACTAACACTGCATCTGCTTTTTCCAGGAGAGCGTCCCAGTCCAGAAAGCCACCAGGTCGAACATAGCATCAGGGATCGTGACACCCTCCGAGCTGTGAGCCACTGAGTTCAGCATCTGAGTAGTATAGGTTTTTCTTAATACAGTTGTGTCATTACTAATCTAGTAAAGGGTTTTTGGAGAATCATCCAAGTTGTGGTCGTGTTCGATGACCATCGGAGCAGTGAATCAGAAGGTCGACGAGGAGCGGCTCCCATGCAGCGTGCTGCATCTACGAGGAAAGAAAGGGTACACCTTTGGAGGGGATTCGTGTTCCTTTGTTTAATCAAAGGGTTCTGCAAAAGATGAAAGCTGGCGAGGGGTCTTTGCTTTTGCATGGAGGGAGTGTTCCTTTGGAACACCATCCAAGAAAGAAAAGGTTCCTTTGTCTCCGTACGTGATTATATTCGTGCTTCTTAGTTTGCTTTGCTTTTGTAGAGGAAGTTGCTTGCTTGCTTGCTAGTATTCATCTACTGCTGCTGATATCTCTTTTGAAAATGGATTGGCTTTCTTTCTTTCTTTCTTTTACTACACTTTTGCTTTTGGTTGTTCAAAAACACCAGGTAAAGCGTATTTTAGCCATTAAGCAAAGGTGCCCCCTTTCTTTCTCGACCATTGTTTTTAGGCTTCAATCGTGCTGCTGTTGCTGTTGGTTTCTGCCTTTTCCTTTTTCAAGTTTATCTTGGGCGAGACCAGTCTTGTGGAATCATATATACTAGGGTTCGTTTTGAAATGTTTGTAGAAACAGAGGCTCAACTCAACGTCTTGCATGTGAATTTCAATCGTTGCGTTTGATGTTCAACTATTTCTGATGCGGAAGGACACTTGTCCGAGAATGAAGAAATTCAAATATTTTCCTACTACAGTACTATCCATGCATTTGAGATTGTGCTGTAGTTGGTGCATGATAATTTTCTAAGGACATGTAAGGGGCCACTTTTCTCCTCTAACAAACGCATGAAAAAGATGGGGTCAAAATGAGAATCAAGACACTGTCTTCACTTACTAGTTACTTCATTTACAGGTGGGTAATCAGTATATATATTGTAGTATTCGAGAAATCATTTCTCTGATGATTAAATCGCACTATAAAAATTGCACAATGATGGATTATTGATAAAAATCACCTGTAAGTTGTAATTAGTCGGAAAAGAAAACTTAACTGAAATTGAAGGAACGAGGAGATTGCTTAGCTATGTTAATTGCTTTTGTTTTGAATATGCTTCAACTTTTTTGCTTGCTGTATACCTCCTCTTTTTGGAACGTTTCTCTTTTGCTGGGATTTTTGGTTTAGATCTTTTGAATGGTTCGATGAGATGGGAATTGGGAATCATCAGCAGAGAGGGGGAGGAAAGAAAAAGGAAAGAGTCCGGTCCAATTCCAAGCCAAACAAAAGTAAAGTGTAGATTCTAAAATTACGGTGCCCTTCTTTTTACCGTAGATGGTAATTTTTGCATGGGGGAAGCAGATTCCCATCTCGTGCAAAACCTTGAAGCTTTACACAGCTCACATGCATGGTCTCTGAAGAGCAAACTTGTTTGCATGGGGGAATCAAATCTGTTTCAAAGCTCGAAACACCTTTTGCCCCATTCGGCCATTCCCCCCAAATTTTGATCAAATTGGAATTGGGCCAATGCTATCTATCTATACAAACAAACCAAACCACAAAACTTGATTCATCACCAAGTTTGGAGTTTGTTTCTTCTATATGAAATACAAATACAATGGAAGAGCAAATATACAGAGTTTTCCTTTGATTCATACAGACAGACAATGAGAAGGGCTTATTCTATCATACAGTTCATAATCTATACATGCAGGCAAAAAATTACAACATTAAGAATGGGTGGCAAGAAGATCACCTTCAGACAGACACTCAGCAGCCCAACTTGTTTCTGCTCCTAAAAAGCTGTTACACTTGTTCACCAAAAATCAATGGGAATTCTTCATCCTGCTCCTCGAAGTCGAAATCATTGCCAATCATCTTCAACGACTGATAAACTCGGTACATCGAAGGCCTATCTTTAGGCCGAGCCACAACGCAGTCACAAGCAACCTTGAGCACCTCCAGAATATCCTCATCATGTCCCTTCCCACGGATATCTCCATCAATGACATCCTTATTGCTCCTCCCCGAGCCACAAATCCCATTCACCCATTCCACCAAGTTACCTTTAAACCCTTCTTCTCCGCCACCGATAGCCTTCTGCCCTGTCACCAGCTCCATAATCACAACTCCAAACCCATACACATCCCCTTTCAGCGATGCAACCATCGTGTTTGCATACTCTGGTGCAACATATCCAACCTCACCCAGGTCCCCATTCACATAACTGCTCTCGTCGACATTGGAGTCTGAAGTCATCATGAGCTTGGCAAGTCCACAGTCCATTATCCTAGCATCGAAATCCTCATCAACCATGATTACGTTCGAGCACATGTTCTGGTGCAAGAGCGGTGGCTTGCAGCCATGGTGAAGCCAGGCCAGACCCCGAGCGGCACCCAACCCGATCCTGAACCGGGTTGGCCAGTCCAAACCAGGCCCAGGACTACAATGCAGTAGATTATACAATGTTCCATTCGACATGTACTTATAGACCAACAGCTTCTCATCCTCCACTATACAAAAGCCCAGAAGTGGAGCCAAATTTGGGTGCCTAACTTGACCTAACAGATTCATCTCATTCCTGAACTGCTTCTCCCCAAGCTTAGTGGTGGTCAGACGTTTCACGGCAAGGGAAGATCCATCTGGAAGAACAGCCTTATAAGTAGTCCCAGTTCGAGTCGAGATCACGATGTTCTCAGGATTGAAATTGTTGGTCGCAGCCATTAGATCAGCTAGCTTGAGTTTCACAAGAGGCTTCTGGAACAACGAGACTTGAACTAGCTTGTAAGCTCTCAACTTGTCGGCCCAACTATCTAAATCATCAGCAGCAACATCACCTCTTCCAGCTCCATAACCTAATCCCTTCTTCCTCCCATACCTCAAATGGAACCACCACCATACCCCAAATGCCAAGAGCAATGAAGCAGCAGCACCAAACACACCAGCAGCAATTATAATAGCAAGACTCTTCTTGCTCAATCCACCACACTTCCCTAACGGCTTCCCACAGAGCCCATCATTCCCCTCAAAATCAGCAGAATCAAACCCACTGAAGAAATCAGGAACCCTACCAGTGAGCCCATTGTTCTGCACAGAGAACTTCTTCAACCTAGACAAACTATTGAACCCATAAGGGATTGAACCAGAGAGCTTATTATTCGACAGAATCAAGCTGTTCAAGTAACTACACCGCGAAAGGTCAGGTGGGATTGAACCAGTGAGATCATTGTTCGACAAATCGAGCGTCACTAGATAGGGCAACCAATTGCATATCTGGGGAGGAATCGTACCAGAGAGAGCGTTGTTGGAGAGATCCAGCACCGTGATGCTGCCACAGTAGGCCAACGAATCCGGGACTGGACCGGCGAGACTCATGTCCCTCAATTCTAGGTTTATGATCCTGCTCTCCCGATCGTTCCAGCACGAAACCCCGACGAACTTGCATATGTAGTTCCCCGTCCTGTTGCTGAAGTTCCAGGAGCTCAATTTCGCTTCTGGGTCTTGCAGCGAACTCCTCAAACCTTCCAGGCACCTGACGTCATCTTCCACGACTTGGGAAACTGTTAGACTAGGGGAGAAGAAGGTGGCGATGAGCACCAGAGTGAGTAAAGTAACGAACTTTATGCTGTGGACCGAAGAACCCATCAGGGCGATTCAAGATCAGAGATTTCTACAGGGTTTTTTTAGCTGGGTTTTAAAGAGAAGAAGAGGCTACTGCTGCTGCTGGGGAAGAAGAAGAAACCATATTTGACTTTCAATGGCTTTCTCGCGGCATGGGATTATGAAAGGAATGGGATTGGGATTCGGTAGTAGTACTCGATTGGTTTAGTGGATGATTATATGAGTAATTGTCACTAATTAATGATTAAATTGCTTGATCATGATTTGGTTGTGTAATGTTGAAGGCATTTTATCACGGGAGTGCTTTTCTTTCTTTTTCGGTCTTTGGTTTGTATTTTATTATTATAAGCCCCCCATTTTCTTAAGCATTGCGTGTTGCTGGAATTAGGTGAATGTGACACCTTTCTTTCTTTGACTAATTCGAAAACTGAAGTATATGCTGGGTAGCGGGTGGCCTGTACTTATATAATGTAAGGTTTGATTATTCTTTGTTCTTTTATTTATTTATTTCCACTTTTGAGAGATTAGTTGGTCTTCTGTTCTGTTAGTATGACCAGAACATGAGTTGACTTTTCTATTTGTGGTTATGCAAAGCTTTGATTAGGTTTTCATTTATTTACAAACTTAACGGTTTCTAATATTTTTGGCAAATTTCACATTTAAAAACTACGAGAGATTTATAATTAATAAAGAACAAAAAAAATAACACGACACGTTTGGGATGAAATGGAGTAATTATTGTAAGAACTTTGAAGTTTAACGTACTAATGTGAAGCAGTACAAGGATGCGTGAACTCCTTGGAAAGTGACCATAATATGAACAACAAATGCAAAATTGCGCGATGTTAACCCGAAATGGATAATATATTATCAAAAAAATGTCGGAATTTTATATAGGTTCTAAAAGGTGTGAGCTTTTAAAACCTTGATAACATCATAATACGACTAATTTTGTAACCCAAGTTTTATATAATTAAGGCAATATACACTTATATAGCAAAAAATTTCGCGTTTGTGTCAATAATAGCCAAATTTGGCCAAATACCACTTATAGCCAAATAGGACGGAAGTGGCTATAAGTGGTATTTCTCCAAATTTGGCTATAATTGGCACAAACGCGAAAGTTTTGACTATAAAATTATATATTACCTATAATTAACAATTGGGGAGCTTCCAAGATTCAAGAGACATTGAATGATATTTAATCCGCTAAATAATCAGCAACATGATTTGATTTCCATTGAACTTGTAACAATCCAAAATTTCTCAAGCATTGTCCATAATCACAAGTCTAATATGAAGGATAATAAAAGATGACCTAGTTGTGATCACCCATCATCCACTCATTTCTCCTCTGTCATCACTGTTTTAACTTGTATTCATACTGAACAAGTTTATATTACCCATCCATAACATTCATATATACTCCTTTGCCTATTCGCTAAATAGTAAATAATCCACTCGTAGTTCCTCTTTAGACTTTTGATCACACTAGATGCTACATTAGCAACTAATTAAATCATCAGACATCTCTCTCTTACTTTTAGTTTGAATTTTGCTATGCCTTCTCTCTTCTTCCAAGCTTCCATTTCAGACTTCACGGGCTGCCGCCGGCTCCCTCTTGGAGACCGGCGGTGGCCCAAATCCTTCCATGTTCTGGGTTTTTGTTGCTTTGCTTTGGTTTTTTCCTTTCGAATTTCAGTTTTGTTTTTCCTTGCCGTTGTGGTCTTCTTTGCCGGTGTGGCCTTCTGATTTTCCCCTTTCCAGTTGAGCTACTGCTCTTCTTTCGGGTCTTGGGTTCTGTCCTGGGCTTGCTCAATGTTGGAGCCGGAGTTAGCAGCTTGGGTGCATCTTCCAGATCTGGATGGGGGTGTTGTTTCTCAGGTTGGTGGTCTCACCTTTTGGTGAAGCCATTCTCGACTCTCACCCTCTGACCTCCCCTGTGAGTTTGTGTTACTCGGTGAGCCGTCGGAGCGTGGAGGGTTGGGTCTTCCCCGGTGGTTGCGGTTGGGAATCGGCTTTCTCCGTAGAGATGTGTGGCTCCCGTGGGATCTTCTCCTCTGCTGCGAATCTGATCTCGCTCCCTCAACTTCCTCTGCCTTTTCAGCTTGGAGCATCCATTTCATTTCCTCCTCCACCGCCATGCAATCTTATTTTTAGGATTCACTGTGATGGATGCCATTGAGTTATCTCCGGAAAGCGGCAAATGGTTTGATGATGATCACTTGCCATGGAGTTTGATTTGATCGGACAAGCTGATTTTCATCTTGTTGTACTTTGAATGGTTGGGTGCAACAGGGTTTCCGATGAGCTGTTTTCATTTTCGAGGGTTTTGCTCTCTAGGGCGGCTGCTTTCAGGCTGTGTTTCGCTCTTGTTTGCTGCATTTGCTCAACATAGTTTGTTTGTAACGGGGTTCCTTGGGGTTTCCTCTTGTTGGAACCAGAATGTTGGTTTCTGTCTCCCTCCTTGTAACTGACTAATTAAAGTGCAATAAAGATTCCCACTTGTAAAAAAAAAAAAAATCTACATTAGCAATCAAATCAAATTGTACCGCACCCCAAAGGCCCAAACTAACGATCAAGAAAATACGCCGACACCAACATGAATATACACCAATTGACATGGGGAGATGCAAAGTGGAAGGTAAAGCTTCACCGCCACCGGCATTTCCATGATAGCCACATTTGTTGGGCCGGTCCACGAACATGATGCTCTGTTATCTCTTTATTTCTCAACTTCCGCGTATGATTCCAGTTACTCTTCTCAGTGGCAAATGGTTCGTGGATGATGACTGATCTGATGGCCGGTAAAATAACTTTTGTGTTTTTTATTTTTCCTGGTTTAAATACAAAATAAAAATGCCTGTTAAATCCATCAAAAATTATACAGCCAAGATGGGCTTAGGACTCAATATGCCCAACCCATTAAGATTATGTTTAGCGGGCTTTTACTTAGTGGACGGGACAGTAGATCTACAAATCGAGTACAAGCCCAGAGCTCATTTGCCACATTCTAGAAGTGAAAATGGGCCTGTAAATTCGAAACCCGGGAAGCGGGACCAAAGGGGCAATTCCGTAATAATGCGAGTTCGTTTCAACTCTCAGTACCACACTGCCAGAATTTCCAAACGCAGCGGCTGAGCTTTCCGCATCTCGCTCGTCAGATTCTTCGATTCATCGAGCACGAACGAACGAAACCAACAATGGCTGCCGAATCCGAGGTTTATAGACATTCTCTTTGCCTGCTGGTTAGTTTGTTTGTGGGAATGGATGTTAACTCTGTTCGAGTCTGTGGTAGGTGGAGAAGATAGCGGCGGTGAAGAAGGCTTACGCTGAAATAATTTACAACGTGGAGAAGGAATCGGCGGTTCGAGCAATGGCCGCTGAGATGCGAGCTCATCGGCTTCAGCAGGATATCTCTGCTACTAACGATGAATCACTTCGCCTGCTTGTTCGTTTAAAGCGGATGATCGATACCAAGGTATACTTTCGCCCCGCTTTTGCTTTTGTCAATTTGGCCTTGCTCAATCCTGATTAGTAATGTACTCAAAAATCAAAATGGTCTCTAAGTTGATCATTAGGTTTTGTAATAGGTATAAGGTAGAGATAAAACCGCCAATTTAGTCAGTTACCCAGTTAGAGTAGTTGTGAAGGCATGATTGGCGTTCGGCATTGCTCATTTTGTGTGTCTCTTTGTCACTCATTTGGCATGTTCACTTGTAATGCAAGGATAATGAAGCAGAGATGACACTCACAAGTAGACAGAGGAAGATTGATGAACTTGAAGAACAATTAGAAGAGGCCGAGGGTGTCATACTAGATGGTAGAGCAAAGTTGGAATGGGTTCGAGATAAGCTGGACAAGGTGAGAAATAACCGATGTCATCCTTCTGTGGAGGAGAAGGTCTCAAAGTCAAGACCTGGAATTAGCAACACATCACCGAACTCACCTTTGCAACTTGCAAGAAATTCTGGCTTGAATTACTTAGACATAGAGCCTCAGCGAATGGGCAATTGCCCGTCCCTCAAATCGAGAATGTTTCCTCTGGTGGTGCTGAATCATCATTGACTAAGCTAGGTATGGAAGAGTTCGAGATTAGTACAAGTGACCAGACAATCAAAATGGTGGATGGCAAGCTGCTTGCTGGAGAAATGTGTCATGGAAATTTGATAGATGAACATGATCTCATTAGGAACGAGTTGGTGAATACACCGAATGATAAAGCTGTAGCGGAATGCCTAGTTGTAAGGACTGGAGGAACACAAAGGAGCTTCTATAGGGATGACCTGAAGTACAATAGGATCAGGAGATCACGTCGAAGAAAGGCTCAGTTTGGAACAAGTAAAGCTAAGTGTAGGCCCTTACAAAGTCAGCTCATCCTCAAACCCTATCAGCCACCTTCTATTTTCTCTCGTAAGAAAACTAGTTCAGCCAATGGGAATGCTAAACCCTCTTCAAACTTTGGGGTGACTGACATGAAGGATTCTGGTGAATTGGCAGAAATCTCAAAGCACGGTGATGGGTGCTTTAAGAATGAAATGTTAAGGTTATCTGGTGAGCACTCCCAAGTTTCTCAACGCTCCACACTTGGTCAGTGCAGGACTTATGCATTTCAACTCTTCAGCAATGTTAAATCAGGTGATGGTCGGTCAAAGGTAACTGATACTGTAATTGACTTGAAGCCATTACCACGCTTAGATCCGGGATTGACACTAATCAAAGGTGGTGTGAATCACGCATCTAGAACTAGAAGCGTTTATACTAAGTACGAAGGTCCTTCATAGATGCGGTAGATTACAAGATGATACAAAAAATAGCATGGAGTTAAGCTATCAATCAGTTAGCTTGGAACCCAAGTCAGGGAATATGCCAGTCAGCAGTGATGTGGAAGTGAGAGCATACGAACCATTGTAATTAATTGTCTTATCAATTGTCCATGCATGCATTCTCAGTGCTCCAAATGCACTGATCAGGTGCTTATTATTCAGATCACTTGTCGCTCTCTCTCTACTGGTTTTGTTGTTCCGTTTACAGCGACCGGCGGTGCGAGAGAGAATGATGGATTGGGGAACGCAACGGCTGAGAAATGTAGGGTCGTTTTCTGTCTGTCTGTGGGAGACCAGAACAGGCGTGCTTTGGCCTTTGTGTAGTAGCGTCACGTTTCAGTCCTTTTGTTTATGCATCCCGAAGCTTGGAAAGTAGGAAGAGATATTCTTCTGCTTCTGCTTCTGCTTCTGCTTCCTAAAGATGACCTGGAATAAACTTTGGATCCAATCCATAGTACTTTTTTGCTTACATATTATCATTGGTGCCTGCCAATGCATTCAATCCCAAAAGGAAGTGCTGCTAGCTTTGCTGTGTTGGAAGAGGAAATCATTGCTTACTGTTTCCTAGTGCTAGTAGAAAGTAAACGTTCCACGTGGCTTGCTAGTTTGTAATTGTAATTGTAAGCGAGAGATCTGCTTTCAGTTGGTTTGCGGCTGCTGCTAAACATGGCAAAGCTCTTCAATCTTTGTTTGATGTATCATTAGTAATTCTCTAAACACCATTGGTACCCACTCAACACCGAAAAAGTTAAGGGACCAATCCAATCATTTGTAAGTAAGCAGGTGGAAGAACCACTTCTAGTTCTGGGGGCAGAGAGCATATGCCTTCTTCAGTTGTCTCCCATTAACACCGGCGCTCTCATTTCTCATCAAATCATATGTTCCCATACGCATGCATGACCTTTCAAACCCAATACACACACTCATAAAGAACCAGAGACCCATATATACCACATTCCCCTCCTCTCTTCACTTCAAATTACCACAAGGTCTCAAAGCAAGAGCGAAGAAGAACAGAGAGAACCCTCTGAAATTGGGGGCAACAATGGAGTCCAGTTCCAAGAACTACAGCTATTACGCTTGCGAAGGAGAAGTAACAACAGAAGGGGAACAAGATGAGAAGTGGACGCACTTGATCGTATACGCTGCAGCAGGCGGAACGACAGTAGCATTGGCGTGCGCCAAGAGATTGGGAGCTATTTTGCTGATAATGGAACGATGGCGGGTTCAAGTTTTCCTCCTTCTCAACTTCCTTCTCCTGGCAATCTTCCTCACTTCCCTCCGCTCCTCCTCCCCTGCTCCGATTCCTCCAAAATCAAGACAGGAAAAACAGAGCTGCAGCGGGCGGTCGGAATCCGAATCGGGTTCGGAGAGTCAAGTTGCTGAGATCAGAGCAACAGAGAACAAGGAGAGCTCTGGAGTGGTGAAAGAGAAAGTTGAGAATGAATTATCAGAAGGGGGTGATGAAGAAGAGAAGTTGACGAAGGAGGAGCTGAACGAGAGAGCTGAAGCGTTCATCGCCAAGTTCAGGGAGCATTTGGTTAGAGATGCTGCCTGCAGCCATTGATTGAAGAGTGGCAGAGGGAGAGAAATTTGCATCTTGGTTAACTTGTAAGCAGAATTGCATCAACGTAACCGAAAAGGGATCAAACTCCGAACCCAAATTCATTTTTGTTTGTCATGTCCTTTTCTTCTTCTGCAAAATGTTCATTTCTTGCTAAATCATGTTGCGACTTATTGTGATCGTAACATCAAATTATATTGACAAAAAACGAGAAAAGAAAATAAGATTTGTGCATCAACAATGAGTTTCACTGCTTATTTAATACCGTTGGATCACAAGTTCGTTGGTCCATGGGATCATAATTCCCTCTGCATCTGCAATAAACTCGATTAGTGTGGGATGGGGAGAGATTGTGCATAGTTAGAGTAGTCCTTTTTGCTGGAAGCTAATGATGCACTCATCAAACATCTGTTCCAAGGTCTTGAAAGGAGGGAAACCCAGTTGACCAATCTTGCTAGTGTCCATGCTGTGCGGGTTGCTGTCTCCCTCCTGGGCCGACAACCTGAGCCCAAATACAACAACAACAAAATTCAGTAATGCACGTGGGCCTTGAAATGGGCCTTTGAATTGTCTTTGCTACTCACTTGGATTCGTAAGGATAGCCCGGATATTTGGGCCTGAGCATGTCGATGACCTCCGACCAGTAAGCCACGGAGCCCGACACAACCAGCCTCCCAGAGGCTCTCCTGTCCTCCATGGCCAAGATGTGGGCTGCTACCACGTCGTCTATGTGAACGAATCCCACCGTTGTGTTTGGAAGCTCCCCTCGCAAACCTATTGATGACCAAAATTTTGGCAAGAATTAAATAATATGGGAATAAGACCTAATCTTTGATATTAAATCATACCGAACCTTTGACAATTGCAAGGACGAGCAGGAGGGTGCTGGTGGGCTTGGGCCCAAGCAACGGGCCCACGACGAAAGAAGGGTTGACCACCACAAGGTCGATGCCATGCTCCTCGGCTGTCCTCCATGCTTCTAGCTCGGCAGTCGTCTTCGCTAATGCATACCATAACTACGTCAACAAGCAGAAATTAATTACGATTATAAAAAATTTATTTATAATAAATACTGAGTTAATTAATTAAAATTTAATATAATACAAATACATTGTAGCGCTTGCAGTAATCGAGGTCGCTCCAGTGGGACTCGTTGAGAGGGGAGGCGGCCTGCGCATCGAAACGGTACCGTATGGAGGAGCAGGATGACGTCAGGACCACCCGCTTCACGGTCTGTGATTTGGAGCATGACGTCAGCACGTTCAGCGTGCCCTTTATGCATGGATCGATCAGGCTCTCCTGGATGTTGTCGTCGTAGGGGACGAGCACCGGCGAAGCGGTGTGGAAGACGCCGTCGACGCCCCGGACGGCGTCGTCGAAGCTCTCCGGGACCAACAGATCGGCTTTCACGAGCTTCAGCCGCTCTTTAGCTCCCTCCAGCTCCCACAGAAACCCAACTTTGTCTTCATCCCCTGAACGACGTACGACGACATATATATGTTAATGTTTGCTTAGTGTTCAAAGTTGACGATTTGAATAAACGTAAGGGGAAGAGATCGACTTGGCCGGCGGGGTAGGATTACCTGGGTCGCGGACGGTGGCTCTAACGGTGTGGCCGTGTTGAAGCAACGACTTGATCAAGTAGGCGGCGATGAAGCCAGTCCCACCGGTTACGCAGTACTCTTGTTTTCCCATCCTCACTCCTCCAGCTCTTTCTCTCTGTATTTCTGGTCATTACTTATAAGAAAACTTTAATGGCTGACTTAAATATATCAGGGCGGTTTATGCTGGATGGTATAACATTGGTCGTTTTTAATTTGTTGTAAAAGTCGATAACACAATGACAAATTTAAGGGAAAAAAATTAAAAGGAAGCTTGGTAGATGTTTTTTAGGTGGCTTTTTCTTTTTTGTATGTTTTCTTTGCCATGGATTTCAGGTGGCTTTTGTACTTTTGTTCCCTTTTAATTTTCTTGCAATAGAAGTTCTTGTCACCATTCATAAAAGAGCTGGGTAGATGATTCATGAAATAGGTGATGGTATGTGTTATATATATATTTTAACCAATTATTTTCTCAAAATTCTTTCTTGTATGGCTCAGTACCGAGTTACGTAATGGTCACTGAACTTTAGACTCGGTGGCAATATGGTCGCTCAATAGCCATCGAATTCGATTTTATCGATTACTTTATCGATCACTATAAGATTTTTGTCAAAATCGGTGATTTGAATCACTTAAATGAAATAAAAAATGGCATAGAAACCATCTAATATGCTATCAGCAAGTAGGAAGGAAGATATCAAGAATGGTTTGAGATAACATGGGTTGAATTCTGATCGAATAATCAAATACTCTAATCGAAGATGAGTTAAAATATAACGTAAATATTGGCTTGTTAAAATTTATCTGCCTTTTAGTGAACCATGTAGCCATGTGGAGTATTTTTTTTTTCTTTTCTTCTTCTTTTAGTTGTATCATCAATACATCATATTGCCGCAAAGAATAGTGACTAATTCTGTTGATGAGCGATTACAAAAAGAGATGAATGAATAACCATAGAGCGACCTATATTTCTATGAGCAGAACCTCCTTGTATCTTGACTGGGTATTGGGCTTTCTGAAGCTGACATTTTGTTGAGTTGGATGGGCTTTGGTGGATTTAGGCAAATGGGTCTCTGTGACCAATTTGGCGCAGTTCATTCGACGTACAGGAAGGCGAGTAGGAAATGTGCGGAATCCTTATCCTTTTCGACTACATTAATGGTAGTGTACCATGTGGTACTACATCTACTCCCTAGCTAGCAAATCGACGTGTGGGGAAGAGTAACTCCGATGGCTACTGGTTTGATGGTATACTATAGGGTGATGGAGAGGGACGACTAGAATAAGGACCATCTAGGAGCAAGTTGCTAGACAGATGGATAATGCATTCATACCGGAAACTAGATAGCATTACTTCTTAAATGCAACTGTCAACTAGTTTAGTCCGATCTTTTGATGCCACTGTGACTAGTTTCATCTATGGATCGAGTTCGAGTTTAGTCCGATCTTTTGATGCTTATGAGACATAATTGTATATGGTGTAAGAAGAAATTCTTGAATATATAGAAATGAAGACTTGATTTCTTTAAGATGATCAAAGAATATGAACAAGTGAAAATGAGTTCTAAATAAATAAAAATGAACGCATAATTCATAATTATTAACCGAATGTACTAATTGTATAGAGAAAATAGAAGCGATCAATGTTAACAAATTCACCTATATTGTATAGAGAAAATAGACATGATGCAATTTATTAGAACATGTATTATTGTTCATTTGGATATCTATGTAGTTAACCCTTTCAACCTTCCACATACATCTAACTTGAAGCGATGAAATCACAAGACTTGGCGACATCTTGCATATACCCACCAATAAAAATGGCCGGACTCCACAAGGCCGGCGAGGTATTTGGGCGTGAGGTGCGTTGCCTGCCGGCAAAGAGATACTGAGAGGCCGGCAACGGCACGGTCCAACTCCTGTCATTGGGGCTCTAAGAGACGTTGATTGATATCAGTACTAATTAATTACTCCCTGCCACCACCAACCATCACGGTCTCTCTCCCGGTTCCATTTATTAATGTTTCGTTTCGTTAAAACAGAGTGGAATGTCTCAACTGCAGAAAACGAAAGCTACTGGTTTGTGTACCCACCAAGTCCAACCACCATGAGAACAAAAGGTAAACCAGTAATACTGCTCCTGAATTCTATGAAAACACCACCTCTGCCAAATACATTTGGGTTCTTTCACTTCTATCAACTGCATTAATTAATTACTGTAATTGAACTCAAAGACAGGCGGAGTTCACTAAGTAACCATGCAACATTTGATAATTAATATAGAGGAAAGCAACAAAAACAAGACAAGGATTTACATGTTGAAACTATTTATAGTTTACGTGAGTCTATTTCACAAAGAGCTTCATCACGCTTAGCTAAGCTTCTCAAATTTTCACTCATGTCATTCTCATTCATCTACTCAAATACAACATAGCTCCATATAAATTGTTTGCGAAGATTGGGGGTGGGGGAGGTTGGATATGGTTCTACATCTTCTCTATCCGATTCCTAATGGGGACCAAATTAAATAGCATGATGAGGAAACTTAGCAATCACGATAGAATAGAGATTTTGGCATCTACTGATCAACACTATTGCTACGTTAAAGAAGGGTAGAGAGAGTCGACCACTCGATCACTCCATAATTCCTATGTTATTGTTGATACCGCTAAATCAATTATTTAGTTATTTCGAATTCTGTAGTTAAATCAAGAAAAACAAAACAAAACAACACTCACAACACACACATGACCACCGGCACCAGCATTAGCAGGCAGCCACCTCACAAGGCAAACCATGATGAAGCTAATGATAGGAAAGTGTGCGGTTCCCTCTTGTCCCCTCTATTTTTTAGGGCTGGCTATTTGGTCCCAGACTGTTTGGTTTTCCCCGAAACCGGACCGTATAACCCGGACCGGGACCGGACTGAGACCGGATAGCAAACAATGCAATCTCATATTCGGGCTTAGATTTGAGGTAAAAAATCGGATAAAGACCGGATATAGACCCCCAACACCTAAAACCAAGATAAAATTGGGACCGAACCGGGTCAAGACCGGACTGTATCCAATCCAATCTTTGGTCCTTATATTCCCGAAAATACCGGACTGGGACCAGATCAATTTGGTCCAATTTAACCGGACCGGACCATATTGCCACCCCTACTATTTTTATCCGAATTTTCACTGTCTCTTTTCCCCTTAGATATTTAGCTTCTTATGTAAGCCCTTCACGAAACATGGGAAAAGTTTAAAGATACGTTTTTACCTAATATGTACTGGCCATTCATTATAAATGAAGCTCTCTTTCTAAATTTGTAAGTTTCTAAATGTTCCAAAAACGTCCCTCACACTAAGCTCATTGGTCTCTTGAAACGTCCTGGAGTTCTCCGCTCCAAGAGCTAAAGACCAAACCATAAGCTGAAGAAGACAAAAGGAGACTGCCCACATAAAAAAGGAGTTATCCAGAGAGATTCCAAGATTTGTTACACAGCAAAATTTGTCCTGTAACGCTCGATGTATACAATGAGCGTTTAATGGTGAAAACTAAGTTTTGTTGGTGAATCAACAGTTTTCTTCCTCTTCGGGAACCATGCTAGAAAATGATGAAAGGTTGGCTGTAGTAGGAAAGAGCAGAAGAGTTTCATTGGCTGCGAGGTTATGGCGAAAAGGTTTTCTAAGTGGTTGAAGAAGAAGAAGAAGAGAGCTGACTGCAATTATCGTACGAATCTAGTTACAGGTATCTAATCTCCAAATGTCTGCATATACTTGATCCTTAAGTTCGTTTTCCTCAGGGTTCAAAGGTTCTTATATTCCTCTCAGGTCTTAAGTACTTAAAATTTTCTGCAGATGAGAGCGAAGATGGAGAGGAGGAGACAAGTGATCATTTCTTCAGGTCAATCGATACTGATCCATGCATTCCAACTAATGAGTTAAGGTAAAGGTTCATGTTATTCTACTCACTAGAAAAAGAAAGTTCAGGTTCTCCTGATGAAGCTAATTGGAAGAACAAGGACAGGGCATAAACAAAATTCTGTTATAATATGTGCAGAGTATTCATTGGGACATGGAATGTAGGTGGAAAGTCTCCAGTGGGAAACCTAACTGTAGATTTGGATGAATGGCTGAATCTCAAGGAGGCTGCTGATATCTATGTTTTAGGGTAAGAAAAGATAACTACATACAACCAGAGATGGAGCTCACTCTTTTCTATCCATCAAACTTCCTATTCAAGGTTTGAGAAATTTTTTCCTATCTTTGCAGGTTTCAAGAGATAGTACCCTTGAAGACTCTTAACGTGCTGGGATTGGCAGACAAAACTGAAGCGACGAATTGGAACCTGTTGATAGGGAAAGCACTCAAGGCATATGGGGGGAGAAGTAGCAGCAAGTACAAGATGATGGCAAGCAAAAGAATGGTGGGAGTGTTTATATGCGTGTGGATGAAGAAAGGGGTACTGAGGAAGTACAGTGTTTCAAAAGCTAGGGTGAGTTCTGTGGCTTGTGGCATCATGGGATGTTTGGGGAACAAAGGTGCAGTAACTGTTAGCATGTCTATTGAAGGAGTTAGTTTTTGCTTCATAGCTGCTCACTTGGCTTCCGGTGAGAAGAAAGGCGATGAAGGGAGAAGGAATCGTCAAGTGTTAGAGATCTTCCGACGAACTTCATTCTTACTACCATCTAAAGATGATCCTAATGATGACCACTACCACCCGCCAACCATCCTGGGACACGAGTAAGTTCTCTAGTGTTTTGTTTTCTAAGTAAATGCAATTAGAGGAGCTATAAGATGATGATGCAGAGTTTTCTGAGCTCTATCAATAAATTATGCAGTAGGATATTTTGGTTCGGGGATCTGAACTACAGGTTGTACCTGGAAGATCACTTGGCAAGGGACCTGGTCAGCAAGTATGACTGGGAAGCTTTGCAGGCATATGACCAGCTCCGGTGCGAACTTGAAGAAGGAGGAGCATTTGAAGGTTGGAGAGAAGGCAACCTTGAATTTGCGCCGACATACAAGTATTCTGAATCGAATTGCGATCGATATTCTGGCAGCTTCGGGGGGAGATCTGGAGAGAAGCAGAGGACACCTGCATGGTGATTCATTAGTTAAAAATAAATCACTTGACTATTCTATCTATTAGCATCTGCTATTGATTTGATGGGCAAATGATAAAAAAAATTAATGAAACGCAGGTGTGACAGAATCTTGTGGTGGGGAGAAGGGGTGATGCAACTTTCATATTTTCGTTCTGAAAGCATGTTCTCTGATCATCGGCCTGTTTCAGCATTGTTCTCCATGCACGTAGAAGTCAGAAAGGAAACAAATCAGAAAGTGTTTCCAGTGAATGCTACTGAGTTCCGACCGCCTGAAAATTTGGTGAGTTTACAAAAGTCAGCATCACAATTGCAATAATGACCAGCGTTAATTCAGACCTAATGATATCATATTTTGTGTTTCAGCTGCCAAGAAACAGCGAGGAAGACAACAAACCTGCTACCTTGCTATCCATGCTTGAAAGGGATATAGACGAATAACAAATATAGATAGACACAAAAAGCTGTTGCAAAAGCGAAGGATACAGGTTTGTACATAGGGCTTCTGGCTTCTCATGCTGTACCAGGTTGCCTTGAAGGAGATGCAACCTTCCCAGATGTCCACCTCTAGTTCTTTTTGAACTTGCTGTTCTTTTCACTGTAGATAGCATTGTTATGCACAACCTGAAGACAAATGTATACAAGGGCTGAAGGCCACTAAGAGTAACTTAGTGTTCATAGAAAACATTCATTCATCGCTACACCCTGGATATGTCGGACTAAAGAAGAAGACAGCCAGCTGGTACTTTGTAAACAGTTCAACAAATCAAGAACATTCTTTACAAGCTTCTTCAAGAGATATGAATTTGGAAACAGCTTTATCAATATCAGCATAGGATCTATATCTATCTGACATCATTGTTCGAATTGAAGGTAACCAGCCAGTCGGTTTAACATGACCTACAAATGTTCTCGTTTTACATTCAACTACAAGAATGCAGTAACATGACATAAAATTTGTATAGGGGATCAAATTTAAAGAAGAGTGTCGCCAAGCTTCTCCGAATTATCCTTGTGGAAACTTGGACAAACACATCACTTCTGCAGCTCATCGCCAAGAACAGTGCATTCCTGTTCTAATTCAGAAGTCTGCTTGTGTCAGGTCAAAGAAATAGATTTGGAGTTTACTGTTTACTTATAAAGAATCATGTTTCATCAGGCATTTCTTGATAAGAACGGTAATTTAGGACGGGTCAAGACTGAAAGATGATATGCTCCTCAATAGAATTGGATTTATAGAGTGAAACCTCTATAGGTTTTTTTTTTTTAATTCTAAGAACACAGTCTAGAATCCATCAAATTCTAAATGAAAGATGGAGTAGACAGAACCAAGGATATCTTCTTAAATCCTGCAATGCTTCACACTCTTTCATTATTGTCTCTACCAAAGAAATCTTCCCCTCAAGGTCACCATACTCCAGCTGGATCTGAACAGTAACCATATCAGACATGCAAGATTGTTGACCACACATTTTAAACCAGAGCAGCAATTTCTTACTTGCTTCTGAACATTTTCCTCAGCTTGGTATGCTTGTGCCTCCTTTGCTATCTCAGAGTTGACTTGTGTAAGCATAGCATCAAGATTTCCTTGATCAACTTCAGTACCTGTCTTCTCTGTACCAGAGGCCGAAAACAGTTCCACATCAAAGTCAGAACTACAAAAGAGCGAGATCAACTACATGACAAACATAACCAAGGAACCGTAAAAGATAATCTTTAGGAGCCACAATCACCAAGCTTATGAACACTGAATATGCTGCTTATGAGGGAAAGAGAAGGACAAAACTCAAGTGCATAAGGCCGGAAGAATTTTAGGTTCCATGGCCAGCCCATAGATTCACAAATGTGCATATGATCACCTGCAGCAGTCTCACTTGATACCATCTGGTGGAAATTCCTACATGACGCACGCATAAGTCGAGGTCTCAGTTCACTTGTCAAACTGAACAATCAGATCTGAATTGAACGCTTGTGAAACATGCATAATCACTATCTAGAGATGACAAAACCAAGCATAACATATGCATCTTGCCACTAGGGCACTCTATTCCCTATATTATGCGTAAAAGCCAGAGCCTAGTTAAAGAATATACGAAATGTACAGGCCAACCTTAGCCGAGAGTTGACCTCCAACATCTGGCGAATGAAATCATCCCTGATTTGAGAGCCACAAAGCATTACAAGCCGGAAATTTAGTAGGTATTCTACTCAATCAGCTAAAGAACTGAAGACTATTGAAAGCAAAGCAAACTGTTCTTTACCGTAAAGCTCCTCTTTGGTTCTTTACATCCAAGCACCATTCAAATGAAACAAACCCCCAAAAAACAAGTGAAATTAGGAACAGTGTCTGAGTAGAGTAATTGAAAGCTCCAATCCTACTGATAAACTACAAGAACCTAAGCATTTCGGCTCGATTACCTTAAGCTTCTCCAGTTCAGATCCGGCTGCGGAGATCTGATTTTGGAGCAGAGAATTTCTCGACTGCAAAAACCATTTGTGAAACCTCACTATACCGCCAAAATTCAATTTGAATCAAAAGCTAAAAGGAAGTTACTACAACCGCTTGGAAATTTCTTGAAGCAAACCTGCATCGTCTGAACCGAAGCATCAAGCATGGATAATTCAATCTCGTAGCCTTTGAGCTTCTGTTCGGCACTCTCCTTGAACCGCTTAGCCTGGTCTACCTCCGCATTCACAATTTCAAGCTCGGCGTGGAGGTCTTGATCTCGTTTCTTCGAACCAATCAGTCTTCTCTCTGCATGAACTCATCGCCGATTTCAAAGAGAATTCAAAAGTCGGACATCGGAAAACAGCAAAACAGTCGCAGCTCCGATTACTCAATTTGAACAAGCTCCTATTCAAAAGCCTCTCTGCGTTTGGATTTTGCGCTAAAGCTGAAGAAGAAAGAAGGAAGAAGAATGGAAGAGAATCATTCCAAAGTGCCTACCTCCTTGCGGTTTCTCAGAGGCGAAGTCGCGAATCAGAGCTAGGAGCTGCTTCTGCTCGGTTCCCGCCATTGCAATGCTGCTGTGTGCTGTGTGCCTGTGAGCTTTCTTCGTGTTTTCCTTTTTGAAGTGCGTTTGTATTGCCCATCAAAAAAAAGAAGTGCGTTTGTATTGTACCTACCGTTTGTGTTTGCTAGTTGCCGACTTGCCGTGTGTTTAGTATTACCTCTGGGCTTATTGGGCTTTCTCGAAGGTGGATGTAGAGTATGGGCACTGGATAATTCGAGATTGGGCTTCGATTAATGAGAGTATGATTCGGAAAGCCCGTAATATTTTTACGAATAGCTTTCTGCTCCTTGAAAACAAGAAACCTTCGCAAGCGGGAGCTTTTAAACGGAAACAAACAACAAGGCGGTCGGCTCTGAACTTCTGATCAAAGAAAAGACAGACATGCCAATTGCCAAATGGCCACCTGATTTTCATAACTATTAGACAAATAAAAACCAATTTTCTATGATCTTCCAAACACCCAATCTAGCCATCTTCCTCCACCACCTCCTCGTCGTTCCAATTGCCACTACTGCTGCTACCGCCGCCACCGCAGTAAATGCAGAACCACTCCTCGGAGTAGAAATCACCGCCGGAATCACTGCTTTCTCTAAACAACGCATTTTCTAGACTCTGATACGCCATCACTTGGCCTTCTTCTTCCCCGTCGTCCATGAGAAACGCACCCAGATACTTGTGTTCCCCCAATCACATTAAAATCCCCCTGCTACGCTGCGAAATACATGGTGGGGATTTTCATTTTTGCCCCAAATCACGTCGAATCCAGGACAGTTTCTCAACGTCCTTCATTTTTATTTTTAATAATTCTGAAAATGAGGTAGAAGTAATAAAAGTTAAAATTTTATTTATATTTATTTTTTAATAGCCACATCACTCATTTAACGGTCAACTATCATAAGAGTTGACTATCACGCTAGATAAATTTAACGAAGACTAATGAAGATTGACCGAACTTGAACTATTGAACTAATCTTCATAACTACGAATGAAATAAAATATTTTAATTACCAAACATGACATTTTTAGTAAATCAAAGTGATCAAACTTGCATTTGACAACAACAAAAAAAGAAACGGGATGATATTCTCATATTTTGAGTGATCAAAATACACCAGAATTTTGAAAGGACAAAATATAATAAATTTCAAACTCGGGCGAGTTTGTGTGAATGTAACTAGTCTAATGCTTTCTACTTTATAACTAAAATTCATCCCTTTTTATTGATCGAAAATCTAGGTTCATTCGATTAAGTGATTCAATCTATATTAGTTATCCTTACACATGAATCCAAATAATGAATTGTAGTTGTCAAAAAGAAAAAAATAATGAGTTGTAAAAATACATTTTTGTTCTTACGATACCATAGTTTGAATATTGAACTAATCAGGCACACCACCGTTCTTTGAAAGTTCTTACTAATAGTATCACTCACACATCACATTCAAAGTCCTTGTTTGACTGCTACGAGACAGAACTATCGATCAAGAAAGAAGAAGAAGAAAAAAAAAAGCAGCTTAACCATTCTAATCAGTGTAATAATTAATTACTTTCCCCTTGTCTCCTCCAAGCAAAAAGTGCTTTGGAGTTTGGCCTATATAATCTGTATGATAATTACGTTGGAGTGTCCCTACAGGGTTGTCAAACCGGTTTATGCCAGTGTGCTGGTTTAGCAAGTGGAATGGTTCAACCGGTGGTACCTATTGGTTTGTGCCGGTTCATGCCGGTCAATATTACTATTAAAATTATAAATACTCATATTTAAACATGAGATTTAACGTCAATACCTAAGCATTTATACTTGAATCCAACAAATAACATCAATATTTAATTTTTATACTCATAAAATAAATAATAAAATAATTTTATAAATTAAATTCTCTAAAATAAAGTCATTTTATTTAGAGATTCGTATATCGATCATGCCGGTCATACCGGTAGTGTCACGCCGGTTTTATGACCGGTACCGGTTGAACCCGGTACAACCAATGGCACGCCGGCCGGCGTGACAACCAACTCCCACTACATTATACTTTTTTACCCTTAAAAAAGAAGGGGGCAAAATTAAACAGATGTGGATGAATGATATCCATTGTTTTGTTGTTTGCTTCATTAGTGTTACCCTACCCGAGGAACGAATAAAGCTACAGAGATCTGGCATTTGTTTTTTTTTTTTTCGCCTAGCTTTCCAGAAAGGGAAAGGGAAATCGTACAGGGGAACAGAGGAAGGGGAAGTATCAAACAGTTGAGTCACTCTGTTTTGTTGTATAGGAAGACAAGTTGCGACCTTTGATTTGATACCACAGGGACGGACATCTGCTAATCTAAGGGCGCACTAAACACTAAAATGGCCTCCTCCACTTCCACTTCCACAAACGGAAACCTTTTCTTTCTACCGCTTCATCATTGAAATGGCGACCGTACGGCAACGATGGATGCAACTCCATAACATTTATTCATTTTTCTTGGAGAAACTTGGTCATTAATGACAAGGGATGATACAAGTTCATGAGAGCAACCGCTTAAATGGATACAACAAATTAACTTTATGAATTTAAAACCTGTGAATTTACTAATTCTATCGAATAAGAGTTTCTCAAGTATGATACTAATATATAAAAAAAGGAGTTGAGTTATTGTTGCCTAATCTCGCAAGCTGATTGGGCGACTATCATTTTTATATTTTCATACCCTAATTTAATTAAATTATAACTTAATTACTATATGTATATTTTATATTTGATACTCCAAATTTAATTTTAATGTAAAATTATTGAACAATTATATTTTGGTATCAAAATTTAATGAGATTTTCGTAATTACAATTTTTTTACTTTTACATATTGGTCAAATATTTAGATTTCACTTGAAACCATGAATCCAATCCGTCAATCCTTTTGAATCAATCTATGAATCCAATATACCATAACAAAAAATATCAATTTAGTTTGTACCATACAAGATGTTGTATCACTCAACTTTAGGAGAAGATTCGACCATTTTATATTTGCTCATTGCGTAAAACATTAGATAAATGATAAAAGTGAGACGACTCTAAAATATTGCAAGAGCAAATTTATAAACTCATTTAGTACATTTACGGGGTACTACTTCTACTAACTACATGCAACAAAATAGGCGACATCTACATAAGAAAGTGTTAATAAATTGCTACGGTGAAAAGGGTTGACTATTGCATTGACGGCCAACTAAAAGAATTGGTCAAAACCTTTCCATCATCTACTTGTTTTTCGTTTCATTTTTCACTCGCCTTCCATAACTCTTTCTTTATTTCTTTCTTTGCGTTCTTCTTCTAACCCTAATTAGTATACTATTTTTATGTATTATAATCACAAGTATGAACGGGTTCATACACGACTGACCAACAATCTAGAGAATTAATAATTGAACCATGAACCAATAAGTTTTTAAGTTCAATGTCGAGTCCAATTAAAAATAAATAAATATGGTTATTACTTATTAGAAAGTCGTCATTTTCCACTATGAGATTTGAAGGCATGAACTTTTAAGCGAGTTCCAGTTTGTATTCCTTTTGCTTCTCACTAGAGTTTTTCTTTTTCACCCGAGCTAGAATTTTCTACAATTATATATGGAATGTTTAGCTAGGTATCTACATATATCAAATAATAGTTTCCATTTTTCTATAAAAAAAGTAAATAATTATCATCTTAAATACATCACTATAAAGGAATTAAGCCTCAACTATGCAAATTGCAGTTCGGTATCTAAACTTAATAGATCTTTAGATTTATAACCTAAATTTATTTTTTTACGCATAAGTCCCCAAAATATTGTTTGAACATTACATTTTAGTATCTAAATTTTTTGTTTTTTACATCTTAGTACCAGTACTTTTGAAGTTCTACAAATATGTCTAATTTTTGTATATGTAATTAAAACACCCTCGAATAAATGGGTATACATTGCCAACTAATACACATTTAGATTATGTTTATGTAAGTACATATTCATACCCTACCCAAACCCATCTACAAACTTTCAAACCCATATATATGTCACCCATACCCTACCCATAATCAATGGGTCTACTTGGATTTAGGTAAATATCATTTATTAGCCAAAAATTTCAAAAAAATAAACAAATAAATTGGATGTTGACCGCCATATATCTCTTCTCAGTTAATATCATATTGTCAAGTCAATATTACTGACTAAACGGCTAACTAAAAATTAATTTTAGACTAATAATACAAACAAACACCATAACGGGTCACATAATACATGCCCATAGGGCATCTCCGCCCCGCGACAAGGCGCGACATCGCCACCTAATTTCTATTAGAAGAAGAAGTCCGAATGGCATAAGGATTGGGGTTAGGCGCCAAAGCTTCAAGTTCAAAGTCTGTCAATTGATACTGTGTCGTTTAAGTTAAGTCTGTTTGTGTAATAATCAATATTGCACCGTTTGCAATATGTCCTGTGTTAGCCCTTGAGTTTCTATCATAGTTCGTTTTGAGTCCTAGTTAGTTGAGTTAGTCGTTGCGAGCTTGTAGCTCAAGTAGTTAGTAGTGTTAGCTAAAAACTAGGATCGTGGAGTTAAGGTTGTTGATTGCAGTCCGTGATTGGGGCTAGCAACATCATCCTCTTTATATTTCCAGTTGATCATTAATAAAACCTCGTCAGATTGCATTCAAAGTGTTTCACAATTTTGACGTACAATCACTTCTTTTGACATAGTAAACTTCTTTGGTTTTTTCAAGGTTGTCAATCCGCTGGTCGACCTGAACCCGGTCGAGCTAGTGGGTCAAGGGTTAATGGGTCACCCGGTTTAGCCCAAAAATATTAAAAAAAGTCATTATATTGTACTTATTTTGAATCCAACATTGAAAAAACAACCGTACTTAAACTCCAACACACTTAAATAACATCAACTTAAATTCAATAGTAAAAATTCAACGACACTTTGGAACGAGCAGCAGGCTGACCCGCTCGGACGGGCCAACCGCCTGGGTTTTCTTGGGTTT